TAAATGAATCAAAACTAAAACTGGGGCTGGGGATTTAGCTCAGTTGGTAGAGTGCTTACCTCACATGCACAAGGCCATGGGTTCAATCCCCAGTACCCCCCACACACACACACACATTAAAAAAAAAAAACTAAAAATGTATCGAGATGGATACATTTAAATTGTGATATACAAAGTAGGGTTCCTCCTCCCCCACCTTTTTTGCAAACTACAAAATATTTATGACACATAAATAAATGGTGAAAACTTTTAATCTACCACATGCACACATACTCCTACTTTATAAAAAGGAAAAAAATAAGAAAAGAAAAACATAGGGAAGAACAACAAAATCAACCCTGAGAATGTAGTTACCTTAGAGGAAGACAAAAAATAAATGATAGAAGGTATGGAGAAAATGGTCTTTAGTTGTCTCTATAATATTTTACTACTTTTAATTTTAAAGGAAAAAAGGCTAATTTTAAGAAAAAAAGATTGGAAATGTAAAATCTCCACCTACATTCTAGGTTAAAATGAAGGACTCCCTTAACAATTATAAGATTCTATTTTACCACTGACATCAACAAAGGCTAGAGCCTTCTGTCCCAGTTCCATTCCCAAGGCTCCTGATAAGTGCTACCATATCACCAAGAGGATCCCAGAAAGCCTTAGTCCAGATTGTAATGTTTGCATGTAAGGATTTGGACACATTTTCTAGATGAACAAATTTCATTTCTGAGCACAACTGTAAGCTACAGTCAGTTGGCAAACAGGCTGGCAAGGACTCATTTCAGCCTACTGGGTGGGAAAATGAAAATGCATGGACTCTACACCCAAATATTAGAGCACACACTCACTTGAAAATGCAATGAGAAATCTAAATAAAAAATAATTTTCTCAAGAGTACAGAAATAATAGAATGCAGAAATAAAACAATACCAATGTCAGTAAGTACTAATTATTCCATAAAGACAAATACAACCATTATGCTAAGGATTATGCAATGAGTATACTTATAAATATATAGTAAGTTTTAAATCCCTTAATAAAAAATAACAAATTCAAAGAAGCAAAATTATATATCAAAATCATTTCTTATTTTCTCTAGATCAGCTTCTAGTACTGTGACTGAGGGAATAGTATATTGTGCCTCCATGGTCAGAGACATATTAGCTACTTGGTAGAAGCATTAGCTTACTATAATAAGTTAAATAATTAGTCTCATGAATAAAACTTGCAATTCAAATATCATCATTATTTTAAACACTAAATAGACTAGACTATTATAATTTTTTGGGCCAGTTTTAACCTTTTATTAATAGTTTCATGAATAATAAAAGTCTAAAATGTGGACAGATTTAAGTCACTAAATGGCCTTTGCTATTGTTCACAGAATAAAATACTTAATTGATTAATGATCTTAGGGTGTCTATCGCCATCTAGTGAACAATCACTTCAATTACCACACCAGACACTTGACAACTGATAAGTTTTCATTATAGTTTAAATATACATGCCCACTTAGTGCTGTAGGCTGACCCAATTTCTTTTTTATGTTCTACTCAATACACTGAGAACAAATAGAAATACAGATGGTATTTGTAGTGATTCACTTTTGAGTGTCTATAAACAATGTTTCCATATTCTCTGGAAACACTAACTTCCGTTATTCTTAAATAACTTTTCACACTGTAAGGTCTCTCATACAATTTCTTAACCCTTAATCCTCTACCACTGAGCAATTAAAAATCATGGGAGAGTTTCAGGATGAAAGATCACACCTGTGAAAAGACAATATTGATGCCCATTTGACACAACTATTAGCACTTTATTATAAACCTGTTTTTTAAAGTACAATTTGCAATTACTGAGTACTCAAGCAGCCATAACATATTTGATTACAGAAATTATTAGTTCAAAAGAGCCAAACCTGCATGATTCCAACAAAACTGAACATACAAAAATAGGCTTAAAAATTAAAGGAAGGGGGAACTTCAAGGACTCCCAGACTATGCATTAATCCATCTCCAAATGCAAAATTTTATTTTTACAAAGGTATGCCATCAGGTTTCCTTCTAATTAATTTCTGCTCTAACCTTAATATAAGGAATCTAAAAGCAAACTACTAATAAGTTCTTCAAGTTATTATTTTTTTGTCCATTCCATCTTATCACCAAAAAAAAAACATTTAATAAGTTATGAAAGTATTCCAAAATCTCCTTAAAAGGACTCTCATTTTACACTTTATCCAACCTATTGTTATCCCTTTAATAACTAAGAGATGCTTGAAAATCACAGACTTAACAGTACATATGAAAAATTCTAGCAAACTCAAAGAGAGATTATCCCATAGACTATTTCCATCTGCTACTGCTAATAATTATCACCAATACTTTAATAATCATTTTTATCTTAGCAAATAATTTGTGTAGAGGACTTTGAATCTTCTAGAATAGTTCCAGGGAGGAGTTGTATAATTATTATTTCTCATTAACCTCATATTAAAGACCTACTTCCCATAGGTGCAATATTCATCATGATTTACTGAAAGGAATAAGGGGGGAAGGGACAGAAACAAAGAATTCAAATCACATGATTATTTCTACATTTGTCTGAAATTCTTTGTTTTTTAGTGAGGCGAGTAGGGGTTTTTAAATCATTTATTTAGTAAAAATTTGTTGTTATATTTTTGTATAACAGAAAAACAAAAATTGAGCTTAAGCTCCCTATTAAAAATCTAGCTAAGCCAAAATATTGCCCTTAAAATACAATGGATTAGAGGAGTGGGGGAGATCATTGGACAAATTTGGGGCTTATCATTATCAACAGTGCCCTTTTAAGCTTGTGGATTTCTGAGCCAATGCAGAAAATGTAACAACAGGGATTTCCCAACAGCAAGAGGCACTCTCCAAGGGAGTAAATTGTCAACTATTGCCTCTCGTGAGAAACTTAAGAGTAACCTTGATCCAATCTCAATAGTCAACCCATGTATTATCACCCAGTTGGGGCATAGTGAGTGTATTTCCTAATACAAAAATAAGATGGTATTCTATCAGAAGCCACTGGATACATATACAGAAATAAAATTTAAATAATTTTGAAGTAAACTTAGCCTAAGAAACTGAAAACATCCTTCTCTCACTTCAACTAGTCCCTAAAACATCTATATCTTTCTAATGTAAAAAAAGGTCTATGTCTTATGATGAATATCAAAAAAGATGACCTTCTAGAACTAAGAGGCAGAATATAAAGCAGAACCACAGTCATGAAAGATGTTCTGATATGGAGGAGATTGCCCTAATTCCATAAAAGACAATCAGAAAGACATGATTCAAATTCAAAATAGCTACTTGTTATCCTTTACCTCTTTTGGGTTTTAGCTTCCTCTGCAAAAGGGGACGTTAATACCCATGTCAAAAGACTCTTCAGTGGTTTTAATAAAATAATGCAAATAGGTTCTAACATATCACTGGCATTCAATACAAGCTTTGCCCTTCCTTGCTGTGCCCCAAGCCAAGATAGTGCTGCCAACAAAAGAATGACTCTAAACATCCTGATGTTTGTTTCATATTAGTTAGATATGCACTATCCAATAAAGTAGCACTAGTCACATGCAGCTATTTAAATTCATTTTAATTATAATTAAATAAATCTAAAAATTCCAGTTCTTCAGTCAGTTAGTGCTACAGGTTTCATGGCTAGAGACAATTGTATTGGATAGTACAGATAGACAACATTTCATTACCTTCAAATCCTACTGGACAAAGCTGATATAGACTCTAAAGCAGGGGTCAGAAAACTTTTTTTTTTTTTTTCTGAAAGTGCCAAACAGCAAATAATTTAGGCTTTGCAGGCCATGCAAGATTCTATCTTAACTACTCAACTCTGCTATTACCACACAAAAGCAGTCACAGATGATACATAAATGAATGATCTTGGCTCTGTTTCAATAAAATCTCATTTACAAAAATAGATGGCAGGCTAGATTTGGCCCAGAAGGGCATAGTTTGCCAAACCCTGCTCTAGAGGATTCCATGCCCAGACCCCCAATACAAGCATTCTACCCAGAACCACTATCTACCACCTTTAACAATGAGTAGTCTTAAATTCACTGACAGGAAATAGCAATTTAATGGAGTCAAATGAATTTAATATTTACCATAACTATTCTTTTACAAATCAAAAATAGTAATGTACATAGTACTAAACAGATGAAGTTTATAGTGTTCATAAAGTCATAGTACCTAAAATGTGTTTGGTATCTGGTCTATCATTCTAAAGCAGATACTCTCCATCCACATAAATCCAGCCTGACATACTCCTGGAATTCTGAATTTACACACCCAATTAACTGCCTACTTAATATGCCTGGAGATCTATTACTCATCTCAAAGGCAACACATACAAGATGGAACTCTTAATCCCTTAGTAAAAGGCTACATTGGCTTTCCTCCTGACTCCCACCTTTCCCTCACAGATACCAATAGTTAAACTCGGTACCACAAACTAGCTCCCTTATGTTCCCTCTTCAAAAAAGGCCTAACTTGACCAATCTAAACTAGTCATATAAACATTCTCTAGGCCACTGCCCTGTTTTAATTATATCTGCAGAGTATTTACTTCTGTCCTAATATCTTAGTTTTTTAATATTTGTGCATTCATTTAATTACTGTTTGTTTTACCAAAGTATCTTCTTCATAATAGCCCAGGCCTCAAAAACATGTCTCCCTGCCCCCATCACCCTAGGAAGAATACAAGCTTTGCAATAACAGAGACCTATATTCTTGCTTAATTCTCTATCCCCAGTGACTAGAACAAAGTTTGGCACATAGATGTTTAATAATTACCCCCACCCATGAATGAATAAATTTTTATTTAAATGCCTATGTCTTAAACTTTTTCTAAAAAGTGGGTATTTAAATCTAGATAACTAGGGAGCAAACTTGTCTCTCCCACACTACAAAACGTATAGTTAAAAATACTCTAATATTTAGAGATGTGAATATGATTATGCCATTTACCTCCCTTCCTTTGTATGTCACCAAGGCAGCCAGTGGTTTGGCGTAAAATCTGCTGTAGGAAAATCCCAGGCAACCGTACATACTGTTCGCTGTGAGCTTCAAAGCCTTCTGTCGAATGTCATACTGCAAGCCACACAAGGACGAAAGACAAACAACAATATTTGCAGATGCTTAAGAATTACATTAGGTATCTTTCTAGATTACCAGTGAGAAAAAGAACCCCTCAATATCCCTGAAATAAAAAGAGCCCTTAAAATACTCAATCTGTCCTCCAAGGTCTATGATGCCCTAACCTCCTGGAAGCAAGCATATATAGACTCCAAAGTTTCCAGAATTCAGAAAGATCTTGCACAGATACACCCATTGCACATAGAAGTACCTCCTATTCTAAGGCAGTCTAGTGTTTTTGAATGGCAACTTATCCACAAATAAAATAAGCACATGTGTTTGCCCATAGCATCTTGAGTGTTTGTACTATTATATACTATTCCTAAATAATCAAATTGTAAAAGCTGAAATTTTCATTCAGATGTCTCTTAGTGAAAAAATATACCTGAAGAACAAGATCTGGGTTTAAATCTTGCTGTTTCATTAGCTGTTTGACTTGTTTTCTCCGTTCTACCAGTTTCCGGATTTCTCTGGGCAAAATGCCCATTTCTAAGCTTGGATCTGGCAACTCAGGGATCTGTTCTTGTTCTCCATCCTGATAAACACACAACAGAAATTTTCAGAGAGTAAAACTTCAGTAAAATAAAATTCTAAAATAATATTTGGTAGCCACTTTACCCCACGATCACATCTTTAAAAGCTTCTTTCTTATATGAATAAAGATCAACGTTCCCTAAGAAAGAGTTGGAACAGATTGCAGACCATGGCCCTTCCCACTACCACCTCCCTCCCACCCGTGTTCTATCAGCCTGTCATTCCCAATATCTCCCACCCCTGTAGTTACTCACAAATTTTGATTTCATTTAAAGGGATGGGTTTTTACACATGCTACCATCCTCTTCAACAAGATTGAGGAGCAACATGTTTGGGGAAATTGCTTTTAAAATACAAACGCTCAGACAGACTTCTAGGATTTAAAAAAATAACCAGCAGCTAAACTACCATTTTAAAGCATTTGTACGACCAAACAAAATGCTATAGAAATTTAAAACTATGGAGAATCATAGCAATTATTGTAAATGTTTTAGACTAAAAATAAAAAGCTAAATACTAAACTAGCAAATTTCTTTTAAGAATTTGAAGCACATTTAAATAGGCCATGACATTTCTAAAAATTAATACAAATATATTCCTTAGCACTGATGTAATACTTTTTACCTATAAATTGCTTTACAATTGGCAGAAGAATAGCAACATTTTTAAAAAGCAACCAGCAGTCTTCTTATATTAAAATTTACAGCAGGGAAAGCATTAGACCATTTTTCTCAAGTCTCCATTAATTCTATTAACAGGCTACAAAGAAAAGCCAGATGCATTTGCCCTTTCAAAGGTACAAAATTTAAAATAAACCTCTTAGCTTAAAGTATGTCAAGTCAATGCCATTTGATAAGCCAGCCTTTACAAAGTATCTAATTTTATAAAGATCAATATCTGCAAATGAACACTCTTAGAATAGTAATAGGGACCTATTGTTTTCCAATATAGCACATGATGATAGCAGACCTATTAAAAAGATCCTGCTACACATTCCAATTTATTTACAGCAACTATGAAAGTCAAATGAAAAGTAAACTTGAAACGATCTGGAGTCAAAAAATTTGCACTCCCAGCTTCACCATCACTACCTATGTGACACTAACTGATCTGAAGATAAAATATTGTACATGAAAATGATACAGAATCCATTAATAGCTACATGTATATTTCTTAGGTGACTTCTAAAGTCCTTCTACTCTGAAAGGATTCTGTTATATATCCAGAATCCAAATTGAAAAGCTCAAATAAACAAAACACTGCTGGGCAGCAGTTGGGAAAAAGGGCTGGATAATGATAATTACCACGTGCTGGTACAGTAGTAGGACAAAGCCCAAAGAATATTAATCAAAGGCAGTCACTATTTGGGAGGTTGTCTACCCAATACCACCTCTGTAAGATTATCCTCTAGTCCCATAGAAAGATTCATATTTAACAGCCAGATTTGTACTCTGTGAACCCACTCCTGTGGTCACAAGTGATAGGACCAGAGGTGCTCACTGACCTAGGCAAGCCTATTAGATTCTCTTTTTTTGGGAATATGGAATTGGAAATGAAAAACAGCTCCTGGGCAGGTGGCTGGAACTAAACAACATGTAAATTAAGAAGCTAGAGGGCAAATAGGCATCTTCTGCTATGAAGAAAGAGAAGGAAGGAAGGAAAGGAGGACAAAGGAAAGAAGGAAGGAAAGCAAGCAGGCAGGTAGAAAAGAAAAAATAGAAGTATCAATACATGTTACAACACAGATGGACCTTGAAAATAATGTGCAAAGGAAGATACAAAAGACCACATGTTGTATGATTCCATTTATATGAAATGTCCAGAATACACAAATCTATATAGGCAGAAAGATTAGTGATTCCCTAGAGCTGGGAGGAATGGGGGGAGGGATATGATAGTAAAATGTTTCCTTGGGAAATAATAAAAATGTCCTAAAGATGAATATAGTAATGATTACAAACTGAATAATCTAAACGCCAGGACTGCATGGTTTAAATATGTGGATTGTAATGTGTGTGAATTATACCTCAATAACACTACTTTTAAAAAGATACAGAACCAATTTATCTCTTTCTGGACAACCTCTCTTTTGATAACTAAGGACATAATTAATATATCCTTTAAGAAGAAATACTACAGGGACTGGGGTTGTGGCTCAGTGGTAGAGCGCTTGCCTAGCATGCATGAGGCACTGGGTTTGATCCTCAGCACCACATAAAAATAAAGGCATAAAGAAGAAGAAGAAAAACTACAACACTAACTCCTTTGGTTCTCCTCCTCCTTTAAGCAATACTTTTAATCCTAATTTCAAGAGACCCCAGTTAAATACAAACCTCTGTAACTTTCTGTGTCTCTGAAGCAACTCTTTGCACTGTTGTAAAACAAATGTTAAATTCCTGAATGATGGAAGGGTATAAACTGTTGAAGTCCAGCAGCAAAATAAACTTATCATAAAAACCTGAAATAAAAAGGTCACATAATGTCAAAAAAGTCTAAAGAAAAACACTGTCAAAACATATTAGAAGTACTCTATTAAAAAGTGTAATAGAAACCATATACTCTCCAGCACTATAAAGCAGACAAAAGAGACAGAGTGGACTATCACACCATAAAATGACTTGGATTAGCGTGAAAGCCCAGATCACAAAAGATTGATGAAAAGATTCTGTCTCCCCATGAAACCAGCTTGAACCAGTCCTTCCCCAACAATCCCCAAATATACCATTATTATGGGAAAACACCACTCAGGGCCAATTATTTTGGAGACAGATCATATCTACTTCCAAAAGAATGTTGCTAAATTCTCCCTCAAGCAAGCATTCCTTCCCACCTATTCTCTCACCCAACACCAAATAAAACACCAGGGGCTGGGGATGTGGCTCAAGCGGTAATGCATTTGCCTGGCATGCACGGGGTGCTGGGTTCGATCCTCAGCACCACATAAAAATAAAATAAAAGATGTTGTGCCCACCGAAAACTAAAAAATAAATATTAAAAAATTCTCTCTCTTTTAAAAAAAAACCACCAGTAAGTGTGTGGATATCCACTCCCAGCTTCACCATCACTATATATATATATATATATATATATATTTTACAAACACACCTTCAAACAATAAAATGGGTAGCCCATTTACCTGTACATGAACTGTGCTGAAAACCAGATAAGAAATATTTATATGAATGTCAGTAGTGGAACGATCCACCCTTTTTGCTTACAAAAGGTGAACAGAAAGCTACTGTATTTCTCTAGGACATTTACAAAGAGTTTCCTTCACTTTGAGAAGAAACTGAATAAAAATAAATGTCCAGTATTAAGACAATAACCATAAACATATATTATTGACAGCTTACCCTGTGTCAAACAATTCTATTTATTCCTTAAATCCCTCTATAGTAGATTATTCTTATATCCATTTTACAGAAGAAGAAAACAAGTCTTATAGATGTTCAACAGGCAACACAAGATCACATAGTCAGCATTCAAGTCCAAATGTAACACCAAAGTATTACTATTCCATGTGACTCCAACCAATAATAAATCCACTTTTGTCAAAAATGTCTCCTACTCAGAGTGAATTACTTGATAAAATTCACATTATGTCCAACAATGTGAATATGTGTAACACTGCTATTGAACTGTACACTTAGAAATGGTCAAAACGGCTTAAAAATAAGATCCTTTCTAGCTCCACCACAAAACATTATCTTTGCCACTCTTGACAAGGAAAAGTTATTCTCCTGTTAAAGTTTGATTTTGTGGCTATTATCTGTATTTAACTCTGTTGGCCAAATGAACTGGTCCTAGCATACTGGCAGAGGCAGAACCTACCCTCACAGAATGGAGGGAAGAAAGGAGAGGTACTCCCATTGCAGGACAAATAGCTTCTACACTGGACCAGGGGTTGGCAAAGCATGCACAAACCAAACTCAGCTAACTGCCTATTTCTGTATCATTCATAAGCTAAGAAATATTTTTAAGTGGTTAGAAAAAGTAAAAAAAAAAAAAAAAACAGTATTTCAAGATATGTAAAAATTATATAAATAAAAATTATACTAGAATAGCAGAAAAATCCACATTAATTCCATACTAGCTGACTGGCAAACAAGATTTGCACAACATACAAGATAAAAATAAGATCGTTATGAGATCTACTTGCTGACTTCCAAGATCCAGTACAGGTCTAGCTATACATGAAAAAAAATCCTTAACGCCCAGAGTAAACCAATCCAAGGTCTCATCTTACCAACTTTGGGGTCCAAAACCAAGCCTCCAGCATAAGCTGCTTTCTTCCGCCCTTTCTTGTATTTATTGGTCTCTCCATCAATTTCTTCATCTTCATCTCCCTAATGTCAAATGAAAGATAACTTCATCAGCCAGCAATTAATTAATTAATTAGGAAGTCTTACCATTCTCTCTTTTTCAATAACAGTACTTAGTTTTAACCAACATTATTTTTAGTTAATGGTTCTACCTATGGGAAAAGACAATTATTGTAATATGTTCATGAATCAAAATGAATGCCAAGCATGGTAGTTTCCTAAGCAATGCTATATCTCAGATTATATGCAAGTTCTATTTTAAATATTTCTGAATTCATAGAAAGTTCATATTTTTTAATTCATGATTATTAAAAATTCAACTTTTCATATTATACAGAATTTGAAATTGTAAAAGGGTCCTATTAAATTCATCACTCTAACATTCATGATGTAAAAAAACTACAGTATTTCACATAGGTATTATCGTTCTCTTTTTTTTTTTTTGCGGGGGGCGGGGGGTAGGTGGTACCAGGGATTGAACTCAGGGGCACTCAACCACTGAGCCACATCCCCAGCCCTATTTTGTATTTTATTTAGAGACAGGGTCTCACTGAGTTGCTTAGTGCCTTGCCAATGCTGTCAAAGGCTGTCTTTGAATTCATGATTCTCCTGTCTCAGCCTCCTAAGCCACTGGGATTATAGGCATGCACCAATACACTCCAGCTTTTTTTTTAGATGGGATTTTGCTACGCTGCCTAGGGTGACCTCAAATGCCTAAGTTCAAGTGAATTCTCCTGTCTCATCCCAAGTAGCAGAGGGACTATAGGCACATGCCACGATGCCTGGCTCACTCTCATTGTACAGAATGAGAGTTGTACAGAACAAAATAAGTATGTTCATATACTGAAAATCCATTCCTGTGTAGTTTACTATTGGCCCACATTTAATGCTTCTGGAGAAATTAAATAGTTCTAAATTAATATTCACTATTAATTTTGGTAAGGTTCATAAAACAAGTAAATACAAGAACCTTAATCACACTTTTTTTTAAAGAGAGAGTGAGAGAGAGAGAGAGAATTTTAATATTTATTTTTTAGTTTTTGGTGGACACAACATTTCTATTTGTATGTGGTGCTGAGGATCGAACCTGGGCCGCACGCATGCCAGGCGAGCGCGCTACTGCTTGAGCCACATCCCCAGCCCCCTTAATCACACTTTCAACATTAAATTTCCATTCTGTATCATTTACCATCAATAGATAGAACAGTAGCTAAAGTTTTAGCCCCAATATGATGGAGGCCACTTCAGAAACCTGATTGTAGTGTTCATAATCATACTAGTTCAAACCGAGTATCCCCAATCTAAAAATCTAAAATCTGAAGTGCTCAAAAATATGAAACAGGGGCTGGGTTGTGGCTCAGTGGTGAATCGTTCGCCTCACACATGAGAGATCCTGGGTTCGATCCTCAGCACCATATAAAAATAAATAAACAAAATAAAGATATTGTGTCAATGTATAACTAAAAAATATATTTAAAAAAATATGAAACATTTTGAGTACCAACATGATGCCTTATTCAAGTAGAAAATCCCCACTTCATGTAACAGGGTACAGTCAAAACACAGGTACACTAAAAATATGGTATAAAATTACTACAGGGTATTATATAAGGCATAAAACAATTTTGTGTTTCGACTTCAATCCCATCCCCAAGATACCTCATTACAAAAATGCAAATATTCCAAAATCTGGAAAAAAAATCAAAATCTGAAACACTTCCAGTTCCAAGCATTTTAGATTACAGATATTAAAACTGTACAGAAAAAATGCAACATAAAAAGCTCACTGGTTTAAGGAAATTAAAGGTTTAACTGACATTAAGCTTTGGATAGTGGTTAAGTGACAAAACATTTTCCATGTGTAGCTATCTACCAAAAAGGTCTAATTCCACCTTTAAGAATTTCATATTTCACAAATAATTTTGTCTGTACAGAAAAAAAGTAGAGAAGGAAACCATACAAACCCACTGGAACAAACTTGACATGATTTCTAGTACACAGGGGATTATTCTAGAGGCAGATGTTATTGCAGCAATTAAAAAAAAAAAAGCTATCTAGGTAATTAAAAAGGAGGAATAAGAAAAGCAAAATACTACGTAATTTTGGACCCACCAGTTTTTGCTGAGACTTTCTGAAAATCTGCTTGTCAGGCACGATATAGTTGTTTTCATAAAATGCATGAAGCAACAAGAACTCGTTACGTTCAGATCGTCCACCCATCAGTGTCCTGGACTATTAAATAGAAATTCTTTTTACAATTTGAGCTCCAAATCACAACAAACAAAAACAACTTTGAGTTAGTTATTTTTAATTTTATCATGATACCTCCTTCAAAACTACTACTAAAATAAAGGCTGCTTTTTTTGGGGGGGAAGTAGTAAATTATTTCTAACATTTTCTTTAAGCATTATAAAAGAGACAGCTTAAAGTATTAACAACTTGGCTATTTCTTTACTCCCAAAAGGACCATTCCACCAGACACATCCAGATGTTAGAGAGATGATCCTTATGTTCACCCAAATTTCAGCACACTGCACCTGGCATTCCTCCCCTTCTCCCAACCAGTTTTTCCTTTTACAAAAGATGCCCAGCTTTCAGAATCCAAGTTACTCATTTTATAAGCATGCATTTAGACTCATTATCATATAACAACTACCCCAAGCAAGCACTGACTCCAACAGGAAATGCTTTTTCCCCCTTTCTAAGTTAAATTTACCATAATGTTCCCAGCGATGTTAGTGATCTGCAATGCTAATGGAAGAACATTTAGCTCACACATGATCTGCAAAATGAACCTGGCATCTTTCCAGGTGTGTTCCAACAGGTACAACAGATGAGAAGATTCACTGTACAGAAAAGTAAGAATGAAACAGAATCAAGTAATTAAAAGAAACAATAACTATAATCAGAACTTCATAAAATATTACAAGGAATTTTTGGTATAAGTAACTTCAGAGCAACAGCACCTTGCCTTTGGAAACAATTTAAAAGAAGGTCGGTATGTAATTAGGAATTCATTTATACCATTGATCCCGGTGCTCTTCTCTAAGCACAAAAAAATTCTACAAAAAAATTCATATGTGTTAATAACTGCATACCTGAAAATCACTGAATCCTTTCATTCATTCTATGAAACAAGCATATATTGCATGTTTACTGTGCACTAGGCACTGGCTATAACCAAAATGGACAGGAAGTCCTATCCTCATGGAGTTTAAATCCTCATGGGGAAGACAAGAGTATAAAAAATAAAAATAAATTAAATATGTAGTGTATTATATAATGCAAAGTGTTAAAGAGAAAAAGTTAAGCCCCAAAGACAGTATAAAGTATCAAGAGCAGAGACTGAACTTTTAGTTAGAGAACCAGAGAAAACTTCATTGAAAATAAAGACCTGGAAGTGGTGAACAAGTGTTATGATTTAGAGCTGAAATGACCCCCAAAAGCTCATGTGTTGAAAGCTTGGTCCCCAGTACAGTACTGTTCAGAGGTGGGGCCTTTGGGAGGTATAGCTGGATTATAAGGATTATAGCATGATTCATCCATGATGGGTTTGGGAGGTGGCAGAAACATTTAAGAAGTGGGCCTAGTAGGGGGATGCCCTTGAGGGTATACTTCTCTTTCTCTTTCATTCTCTCCTCCCCATGTGTTCCCCACCATGTTCTGCATTTAGACTCATTATCATATAACAACTACCCCAAGCAAGCACTGAATCCAACAATGCTTAAACGCACAAGCCTAAATGCGACAACAACAGAGTCAACCAACTACAGATGAAACCTCTAAAATTGTGAGCCAAAATAAATCTTCCCTTGACTTGCTCTTCTCAGGAAATTTTGTTACAGCACAGAAAGCTGACTAACACAGGAGCAAGCCTTATGGAAAGGTATCTGAGGGAAGAGCAATCCAGGTAGTCAGAAGAGCATTCCAATGCTCTGAGCTGGTTATAGACAGTGCCTAATGCACAGTAAACATGCAATATATGCTTACTTCATATATGGTAGTTTCAGGACCTGGAAGTACATCAATATGGCTGAATGAGAGAGAATGATAGTGAGAGCAGAAGACAGTCAACAGCATAGAGACACAGTGCATAGGACCCCATAAGCCAAAATAAAAACCAGTTTTACTCCAAATGAAACAGTCAATGGGAGATTTTGAGCTGACTTTAATTTTAGCAGGATAACCTTGGTCCTGGATTAAAAATAAACCACGAAGGAGCAAGAACAAAACCAAGGAGACTGGTAATATAAGACCCAGTGCTACAGTTTGAATATGGTTTATCGCTCTGAAACTCATGTTGGAATTTAATCCCCATTGTGAAATATTATGAGGGTAGAAACTTAAATACTAAAGTATTTAAAGTGGGGGCTTTGAGCCCCCATGATTAAATGCAGGTAGCTTTATAAGAAGAGAAAAAAGAAAGCTAAGGATACACACATGCACTCTCTGCCTCTCACCAGGTGATACACTGTACCACCTCAGGACTCTGACAATAAGAAGATCATCATTAGATGCAGCTCCTCAAGCTTAGACCTTCAGAACCATAAGTCAAAATAAACCTCCTTTCTTTATAATTTTCCCAGTCTGTGGTACTGTATTATAAACAACAGAAAACAGACTAAGACAACTTCAATTCAGGGGGAAGGGGATGGTGGCCTGAACCAGGGTAGGGTCAATGGAGGTGAAAAGATGTTGTCAGGTCTAGATATATTTAGAAGAGCTGATAGAATTACCTAATGGATCTACTGTAGGATATCAGAGAGAGGAACCAAGGAAGCCTCAGAGGTTTAGGGGAGAAGATGACTGAAGGCTTACAATGGTAATGAAAAAATAGAGGTATCATTAATTTAGTAAGGGAAGACTACAGAAAGACAATGGGAGAAGATCAGAGCTCAGTTCTGAACAAACTAAAGGTTCATATTAAACATCAAGTGGATACATGAATCTGAAATGTAGGGGAAAAGTCAAAACTGAATAAACACAGTGAGGAGCATCAGCCCCCATATGGTATTTAAATTTTCAAGACAATGAGATTACTTGGAGAGGATACAAGGTCAAAAGAGAGCAGCAGTCCAAGAACTCTGGAGAAACAGGTAGGAAAACATGAAAAAATGGCCAGAGAAGTAGCAGAAACCTTACTTTAAAAACAAGCAAGTAATATCTCTAAATGGCTTAGTGATTGCTCAGTTTTTTGTATTTCCAAAATATCTCATTAATTATGTGAAAGAATGGGGCTGGGGTTGTGGCTCAGTGGCAGAGGACTTGCCTAGCATGTGTGAGGCACTGGGTTCGATCCTCAGCACATGTAAATAAATAAATAAAAAATAAAGGTACATCAACAACTAAGAAATATTTAAAAAATTAAGTGAAAGAAGTGTCAAACTCTAAATTCATATCAATTTCCAAATTACCAATAGGAAACATCAAGGTAGTGTTAAAACATGTGAAGGAGATGGACATAAACAGATCAAATTAGAATAATTCAAGAAGTAAACTAGTTCAAATTATGAAGTAACGGACATGGTGGTGCTGACATAAAGACAATTTTCTGCTCCATGGTACCATGGCACAGGTCCCTATAGCTTAAGGATAGTAGTGGCATCCTTCAATTGCTAATTTCAAGACAGATTCTAAAGAATCTGGGATCATACCTGTACATGTTTCGTACATTTTCCATTGGAATTGCAACCCTTTCCATTTTCAGAATCTGTTGAACAAGTTCAGACAAATGGTAGCTTTTGCAATGAATCAATTCCTTTGCTGAAATTTCCACATCACAGATCATTCGGCCACAGGTAGCATTTCTTTCAGCAAATCCACTCCGGCCCTACAAAGATGAGGACAAAAAGCAAGTCCCATGAACATTCCATGCTATCCTACTTTGAGGTTGACCTCAAAATTACAAAGATAAAATTCTCGTTCTTCCATTTATCAATGAAAATTTTTGAACATTTACCATGTATCTGATTGACACTATTCTAAGGATATGGCAGTGAACAAAGTAAAAACAAAACTAAGAATCCTGACTTTATTTTTATTGTATATATTCAATGAATAACATAAATAAGAAAGTATATAGTTTTAGGAGTTAATAAGTTTCTGGCAAAGGGGAAAAGTAGAGTCGGGTAGGAGGGATAAGGAATTTGGGGGGACTATACCTAAAGGTATAGACTGGTTGGGGTATACCTCACTGAGAAGATTCCATATTCAGAAAAGTCTGAAGGGAGTATGAAGGGAAAAAGGGGTTAGATAAGCAAATGTTTACAGTAAGTAATAATAACCTCTTCACCTTAAAGATATGAACAGAAAAAGAAGAGTAAGAGTCCCAACTCTGATAGCAGAGAACAGCAGCAGAATCCTCAAGAGATCATTATAAAAGGGACAGATTCCTAAGTTCTCTGATGAGATAACATGCTGATTTTATTTGTAAGCTTTAGGTAAAATAAGACTTCAATCTCTGAACAGTATCAGGGTTAGGAAGAAGGTGCTTCATACAAAGATGACCAAAACCTCTCCACATTTGAAGCAAGCAAGCAGAATAAAAAATACATAGGCTTTAAAAGAGTCAGACTGACCTAGGTTCAAATCTCAGTTCTTCCCCTACTAGACCTGTGTGAATGTCTACAAAATGAAATTGAAGTTGCTATGAGAGGCTAACTACATGAGAAAGCACACAGCTCACTGCTTTCTTATATTTCACATTAACTCCCTTCCATTCATTCTTCCCATCTTCCTGAATGATAATACTCAATTAATTCTGAACCCTGCAACCCTACCCTAAGGCCTATCACTTTAGGAATGCTGAAGTAAAAGTAATATGTATGTGCTGTCTTTCTTTACTATTTCTAGATTCCAATCATTGATTTAAAAAATGACCAGTGGCTTTTTCAAGTAAAATGCTGGATTCCAAGGAAAAGACATTTGGTACCAAAGTTAAAATGTACTGAAGTTAGTATAAGACAATCAATTCCTATTCAAAAAAGTGTAGTGCTTTCTTGGTAAGTACCCAATAAAAAATGGCAAATAAAAGAAATAAGATTTTCAAAACTACTATTACCCCAAGCTTTGGCATGGTGGATCGCTTCAGACGACCTATCTTGGACCAGTGAGGAACTTTGCACACATTAATTCGCTGCAGTAGCACTTCCAGTTCAAACCCATAAATATTATGACCCTAGGCAGAAAAAGGAGGCAGCCAATAACATTATAACAAACGCAAATTAGATGATTTATCTTCAAACACACAGAATTTCTTTGCCCTTTCTTTTTCTGGTCTCTAATTGAAGACATCGTGAGCTTACCTCAGATTGGGGGTCCTTTCTTCTTCAGGAATTTATTCATCAGCAGCATTCATTAGCCTTGACATTAACAAGGCTGCTAAGCAGATTGCTTGAATAAACTTTATTTCATACTAATTGATGCAAGGTTCATATGATCTCTTTTAATTTGCAGCTCATGCCTCACAATCTCAAAAGCAAATGTAAATTTTAACATCCCATACTTTTACATGATCACTAAAAGCTGTATTCAAACAATTCAATTTTGCTTCCTTAAAAACAGAAAACCAGCTTGTGCTGTAGGAGTTTGCAAAAAAACTTCTTAGAAAATTCAGGAATTGCATTTGGCTTCTTTAAAAACTGAGTTCAAACCCTACTGATTTAGATACTTAATAAACATGCAACAAAATAAATATATAATACCAATGAATAGTTCAAGTAAAAAACTTAAAAAGAAGTAAACAAAATTATATAGAACAGAAAATAACTCAAAATGCAACTAGATTTTTCATTTCTATAATTTCCAATTTCTGTCACGTGAATAACATTACTCACTTAATTAAAAATTAGACGAGGTTCAAAATAATTGTTATCAATAAATAGATTTACTTGATACTAATTTTAATTAAAAACATATACTACCACTTGGAGTACACAAAATCAATGAGACAGAAGGCAGAATGATGGTTGCCAGGGGCTAGGGGAAACGAGGAGGTAATTAGTACCATTTCAGTTTCAGAAGATGAAGAATTACAGAGATGGATGATGTTAATGGCTGCACATTATGTATGTAGCTAATATCCCTGAATTGTACACTTAAAAGCAGTCAAAATGGTTAATTTTATGTTATGTGTACTTTACCACCACATAAAAACAATATACCCCATTATATATTTATGGCAGTTTTGTCTATTAAAGTCCCAAAGGATTATAAGAATGTATCATTTTCAAATTATCATGCCTGGGATCAGGGACCCAAACTCATGTCAGGACTCTATCTTACATTTGAATTTCTCACTCAGACCTGGCTCTAACATCCTAAGTCAGGCCAGGTATCATAGTGCTCCAAGACATCACTCTGGGGACCAAATTACTGTTAGTAGAGACTAGGTGAGGGCCCAGTGCTAAGCCAGAGGACTATGGACAGATTTTTTCACACTTTAAATATGGGTCCTGAAATAACAAAGGGATGTGGGTGCAGAGACATTTTTAACAATCCACAGGCTTTCAGGACAGTAGCTATGCCACTGCAAGATAAGACATCTGAGAATAAAAATGAACCTAAAGGATATGGCAAACATTTTTGCAAGGCTTCAATATAACCAGATTACTTTATGACTTTGGCAGTAAATAGATGGATCTAGAGACTATCATACTAAGTGAAATAAGCCAATCCCAAAAAAACATGTTGAATGTTCTTTCTGATATGTGGATACTAACACACAACAAGGGGAGGGAAGAATAGAAATTAAGTGTATTAGACAAAGGGGATGAAGGGAAGGGAGAAGACTGGGAATAGAAGAGATCGTAGAATAAATAGGACATAACTTTCTTATGTTCATATATGAATACATCACCAGTGAAACTCCACATCACGTACAACCACAAGAATGGGATCCCAATTAGACTAAGTTATACTACATGTACGTATAATATGTCAAAATACACTCTACTGCCAGATGCAGTGGCATATGCCTGTAATCCCAGTAGCTCAAAAGGCTGAGGCAGGAGGATTGTGAGTTCAAAGCCAGCCTCAACAACTTTGTGAGGCCCTAAGCAACTTAGCAAGACCCTATCTCAAAAAACAAACAAACAAAAATACCCTACTCATGTATATCTAAAAACAACACATTTTTACAACATCTTTTAAAAAGAAGCTGTAATATAAGAACAGTTTTTAATTAATTTTTCTAACACTAAAAATATATATATAGGGGCAGGGGTGTGGCTCATTGGTAGAGCACTTGCCTGGCATGTGTGAGGCACTGGGTTTGATCCTCAGCACCACATATAAATAAACAAAATAAAGGTATTGTGTCCATCTACCACTAATATATATTATAACCATATTACTAATATCATATTTAAAATATAGGCATTTATTATACTTTCTGTCAAAAAATAAAACAATAGAGTTTGACTGATCAATTGACCCAGAAAAAAAGACAAAAGGAAGAATTCCTATCAAGAAGCATATAAAGGAAGGCCAAAAAACACACAAAAGTAAATATCTTGCTTTATAACTTCTACGAACTGGGGCAAAACAATGAATTATTAGCTCTCACTATCTAGTCGGAACATGGGAAGTTGTCAAGAGAAAAAAAATTGCTAGTATGAGCTCTCAAAGGAATGTCATAGAGATCCACTAGGCTCATAAAACTAAAATACTTAGTTTTCTGATTTGCACCAAATCAAGGGAATTAATTAACTCCTGTTGACTCTATACATCTGGGTCACTAAGCAAAAATTTTAAAGATACTAACAGCTTATATACATTTATTTACTGATATGCTGGTCTCGTCAACTGTAAATAACTAGAGTGTTTTAAACTTCAATAATAATTCAAGGGTTGCTTTAATATTAGGGAAAAAAAGCCTAGGGGGCTGGGGATATAGCTCAGTTGGTAAAGTGCTTGCCTTGCATGCACAAAGCCCCGGATTCAATCCCGAGCAACACACACACACCACACACACACACACACACACACACACACAAAGCCTATCTTATAGTAGGCAAGGGTTTTTCCCCTTTCTATTTGCAATTAGTATAGCAATGCATTTCACTCTGAAAAGATTCTTTGGAGCTCAAAAGTAAATAAACAATAAAAATAACCAATAAAGTCACACTGAAAAGAACTAAGAAATGAAGAGTTTCCCTGCAACATGATCAAAAAGCTACTTACCACAATGATATCAGGATCAATTTTGTGAACTTTTGCAAGGAAAAAACCTAGCAGTGTTCTTTCTGTTGTAGCAACCTCAACCTTCACATTCTGTTAATAAAAACACACCAGTCACCAACTCTTTAAAGTATTGTACCTTGGCTTCTTGTTTAACCAGGATTAAGATTTCTTAGGGTTAAAAGAAACTCCCCATTTCAAAACTAAATGCAGCAATGAAATTTTAGATTCTAGGTTTTGCAATAATAATTGCACAAAGTCTCTGAGGAGCTCATTCTAGTAATATGCATGAGAATAAAGCAAAATTTTAAGTGCTAAGCAACAGCAAGAGCAGAAATGTCCTTCCACAGAGACATGTTTGTACATTGGACACATTTGAAAGCAAATAAATCAGAGTACCTTTCAAAAGCATTATTTAATTTCTTATATAATCCCTGGTAGACTTCACTGTTGATGTATTTATCAGGAAAAGAAATCCCAAGGATTATATAAACTATTCTCAAATAATGGTATAAGAACAGATAAATAAGAAACTAGACTAAAAACAAATATAAAAATTATGAGTATTTTAAATATAAATAAAATCTATCTTTATACAAAAGCCTTCCACTTGGATTACTGAATATAAATCAAGTATTCAATCTGCTCTTATTAAAAATCTCTTAAAATAGAAGTTGATAACTATATGTATTCCATAACTACGTCACAAAAATGTCAGTTTGACTCTACAAGAATTCCTAGGTCACTGTACTTGGATAGGTAATTCAGGACATGTCACAAATGATAGCCTAACCTAAAAGTACCCCCAAACTGTTAGACTTCTCAAGTCAATTTAAAATAATATACATGAAACCTGACAGGGTTGCAGCATTTGATTTTGTCACGTGAAGACATTAACAAGTGAACTTTTAATCAAACATTATTACCCTATGTGTATATATGATTACACAACTAGTGTGATTCTACATCATGCGCAACCAGAAGAATGAGAAGTTATACTCCATTTATGTATGATGTGTCAAAATGCATTCTGTCGGGCTGAGGTTGTGGCTCAGTGGCAGAACACTTGCCTGGCATGTATGAGGCACTGGGTTCGATTCTCAGCACCATGTATCAATAAATAAAGGTCCATTGACAACTAAAAAAAAAATCTTAAAAAAACACATTCTGTCATGTATAACTAATTAGAACAAATTTTAAAAAAGGAGATGAAAGAAAAAAAGAAACAATGTACGCTCCAAAAAAATTATTTATTTATATTGAATACATTTAGCTTTGTGAAAAGCTCACTACATTTTATTATTCCCCTGCCATTTTATTAAGGGCCCAGAAAAAAATTCATGGAGCATACTATCCTCCTATTTTCTTTCCAAACAAATAAATACTTCATATTTAAAAGGAATAATTAGCTATTTACCTTTTCCTTAATGACTTCAATGAAAGCACATGGAAAAATACAGTCCTTCGGTTTAGATACAACTATAAGAAGGGGGAAAAAAATTCCAAAACCCATTTTATTGTAATTTCAGGTAGACATCAATGCATGTTTCCAAATAGAAATTTAGAAATTAGATATAAATATTCCCCCATCCCTAAAATGTTAAAAGGTTCAAGTATTTTCATTGATCATGTTGGGATTCAAATGAATAGCCAAGCACAGAACTCTATCCCTACAATTGTTAAAACTTTGATCAAATTTTGCTATCCATCAAAGTCAAAATGAATGATTATAACATTCTCTCCCAAAGGAAATCCCACAACCACCAAAGCCTCAACCAGTTTACAATGAAGTAACTCAGTTCAAACTTCTCAAACTTGGAAAAGATGACAGTTTCTCCTCTACACCATAAAAATAGCTGTTCTCACAGTAACACACAGAGGAGGTGAATAAAGGCTTGTTGAAATGAGCTAATGACTAGTTTCTTCCACATTTTCTTCAAGCTATTAGCAGTGTTTTATTCCATGTATTCCCCCTACTTAAGTGATAAACTTCACGGTAATCATAAATTTTGTTTTATGTTTAGCAAAACTAATGTGTTGCTAAAACAAAATAAATTTGCTAAAACAAAATTTATTTAACTGGCTTTCAACATGGACTATATCAGAATCCTCCTTGGAGACTGACTCATTAAACACACAGAATTCTGTTGATGTTTCACACATTGAATTGTAGTACAACTCAATTTCAATTTGATATTACTATAACCTCTCCCAAATAGGCGAACATTAATTTATTCCTTGGCACCTGCCTCATTGCAAAGAAAACTCTGGACAATAAAACTTAGTTTCCATAGCTAAAAACAACCTTAACAGTATGCACTATTTATTCTTGAAAATAATTTTTGAAAAACAAGGTACTGATCTAAGAAAAAACTCAAATCAAGTCTTTAATAAAGTATCTTTAAAAAATACATACCACAGAAGTGTGACTGAAAGGGAGGTTGTGGGGGTGCTTTATCTAATGCAAAATTGTGATGAACCAAAGCTGCTATAGCAATAACCTGCAAAGAAAGGAAGGGGGAAACCACTTATCAGACACCTAATATATATTCTGCACTCTTACTGATATGTAAAACTACAGGTACAACCCTACCCCACCTATCATCTCCCTGCAATTTACATTTGTTGAAGAAACTGAGTTGTTTATCCTATAGAATGCTCCGTGGTATGGATTCTGTTGCTTATATCCTAATAGGGTCACTTTCATTTAACACATTCTGTTTCTGTACTGCCTATAAATTCACAGTTAGATCAAATGACTTTATCAAAACCAGGTTCAACTATTTGGCAAAAATACTTTAGAGGTGCTACTGATTACTTCTATCAGAAAGCACAGACACATAATGTCTATTTTTCTATATTTCAGTGAAATTAGCAGCCACTGTCAATCATGGCCTAGATCCATTATTTCACTGGGGATTAGAAAGTGGTATTATTCCATTTTTCCTTCATTATTTATTAGCTGAAAACCTTCTAAGAACAGAAACTTCACTTCATCAATTATTTGGTTGCCTGAGGTACAGTATGTTTTCCAGAAAAGTCAGGATAATGCTTGATTTGATTCCCTTGTTTATCAGTTTTAAAAATGAGTTAGTTTCCGAGTATCCTTCATAAATGAGCAATGTGGCAGTGTTATTGTTGTTATTATCATCATGAACTCATAAATTTGAGTGTTTCCATCTATTGCAATTATTCTTATCGTGCTCACATTGTCCCACCTTTGGTCAGTAGGATACTCTGCAAGTTGTTTCCTGGGTCCTTCTGACATATCTTCAGTAGATTTTAATATCATCCTTCCTTTCTGATATAACACGATGTTCCAGATTTATCTTAGACATTCTCTGCCTTCATTAAGCCATTTCTCCACAGAGCCCTATTTCCTTTATTAGGAAACAGTCTGTGAAAACCTCACTCTGGGCAGAAGAGAACGGACACTTCTTTTTTAATTTTAACTAAGGACTTATTGAACCTTTCCCAAACACTTAACTATTAACTCCGATCATCTACAGAAATGATTATTTAAAGATCAGGGCTTGGGCTGTAGCTCAGTGGTAGAGCATGCACTCAGCATGCACAAGAGCCTGCATTCATTCAGTCTCCAGCACTACCAAAAATAAAGATGAAATCACATACTAAAAGAATGAAAATATTGTCCAAAATCCTCTTTTAAAAATACCCCCATTTATGTCAAAATGAAGCAAACATAAAGAAACTCCCATTGATCAGAGTAAGAAAACCATAAGGATCAAATGTAACAAGCTGACCACACTGGTGCTCACCTATGGTTCCAGCTACTTGAGAGACTGAGGCAGGGGGCTCACTTGAGCCCAGAAGTTCAGGGCCAGCCTGGGCAACATAGTGAGACCCCATTTCAAAATAATAATGTCAAAAATAAAATAATAATGAATTCAACAGATAGGGAATATACATACGTGTGTGTGTGTGTGTGTGTGTGTATGTATGTGTAAAAACCACCATTTTAAAACTCTTAATGAAATAACTAATTGAGGTAAAATGACTAATTCATGGAGGCATTAGAACAGTAGTTCTCAACTGGGGATAACTGTACCCTCACATTTTCCTCTAAGGAATATTTGGCAATTGCTGGAGGCATTTTTAGACTGTTACAACTAGCAGGGAGAGGGGGTACACACATCTAGCAGGTAGAGGCCACAAACACTGCTCAACATCTCACAACGCAATAGACCACAACAGCACTCCACAACAGCCCAAAACACCTGTAGTGGCAAGGTTAGATGAAAAGCTGATGGAGAAATATACAGTGGTTATCACCATTTGAGCCCACTGACCAATCTTAGCCTCACTAACAGCAGCTTAACCTGACATTATGTGTCTTCCAATATGAAGTACACTCTACTACCTATAAAGTATTTTGGCTAAGAAAACTGAACTTGAATCTAATTCATCCTTTAGAGATAACTTATAGCATATAGATGTATGAAGGATGGAGGAAGAATAGGCACTCTGTTTCTATAAAGGACCAAAAAATAAGTAGTTCAGGCTTTGCAGGCCTCATGGTCTCTGTCATGACTAACTGACGCTGCTGTTGTAGAGCAAAAACAGTTGAAGATATGCTGTGTTTCAAGGAAACTTTATTTACAAAAACAGGTAGTGGGCTGAATTTGGCTCACAGACCACTGTTTGCCAACCACTGGTATAGAGGAAGAAGTCCAATGATACCACAACAGAGCAAACAAATACAGACAGAAAATGGGACATTATATGAGACAACTATCAGTAATTCTTGTAATCATGCAATGTCATTGAAAAGAAAGTGGGGGGAATGGGTGGGAGTTATACCATTTAAAAAGAGATGAAAGTGGCACAAAAATTAAACACCATCTGTGAATCTTGTGTAAATCCCGATTCAAACCATCTGTTAAAAGACATTGTGAGAAACAAAGTCATTTAAGTATGTGCTGGGGATTTCAGACTAAATCAAGGAATCACTGTTAATGTTACTGGGCTTGCTAATGATGGTATATAAGAAAATGTGCATATTTTAAGAGATGTATACAAAGGCACACAGGGTTAAAATGGCATGCTGTTTGAAACTGACTTTAAAATACTTCAAGAGAAAAAAGGGAAGGGAGAAAAACAGGTGTCACAAAATTTGCTAACTGCTGAATATGTGATTGATATAGGGAGTTCATTGTATTATTCTCTGTGTACATTAAAAAATATTTTCAGCAATGTAACTCCTTGAAAAAATCCACAACACCAGACAAAGAAACAAATTCAATTCCTTCTCCAAAATGAAGTTTTGTACTAAATTAGTATTCTTTCCCCTCCAAGAACAATTTTGTTGCAGTAAAGCTATACAAGTTCAGGCCAAGTATTACACCTAAGGAACAAATACAAAATATGTCCTTTTTTTTTTTACCTCATGTTGATGGTTCTTTGCATTCTGCAATGTTTTCATGCTGAAAGACATCACCACAAGTGGAGGAGGACCAATATCCTTAATTACATTCACCAGGTCAGGTTTCAAAGCCATGGCCTCAAATTTACACCAACTGATTGGCTGGTTCAAGAGCTCTGAAAAAAATAGATATAACACATCAATAGCTTTTGTTAACTTAAAAAGAAAAAGTACCATAATTATGACAACTGTGATTAACTGAGATATTCTTCAGTCCTATCTTCTATTAAAAATGACATAACATCTAACTAAAAATAAGCCACATTACTGGATGTGTGTGTATCTATGTTCATTTTCTTGAGAAAAAAAAAGTCCAAACAGGGACCAAGGCTATGGCTCAGTGGCAGACCACTTGCCTAGCATGTGTGAGGCACAGCATTTGATCCTTAGCACCACATACAAAAAATAAGCAAATAAAATAAAGGTATGCTGTCTATCTACAGCTACATTTTTTTTTTTAAATCCAAACAAAGCTTTTTGTAAAATGATCTAAAGAATCCAGGACCCAAGATAGGTTTTAAAAACCCAAAGCACTACCGTGGAGGAATCATAAAACATTTTTAAGAGATTCATGAAGATAAAAGAGTATCTCAGATACAAGTACTAGAAAATATCAAGTAACAGGCAAAACAAGTACTATCCACATTAGGAAGTGATTCTTCTCCCCTCCAAAGGTCAGCAGTTTACTATGGAGAACAGCTGGGCATTATCTGCCAGGTGGGAAGTACATGTAAACAACAGCATAATGGGACGCACCCTGAACAGCTGCCTGTGCTAAGGCCTCCTTCTAGACTAAACTGCCAGGCATTACAGAGATAAAGTGATTCCAAATATACCTACAATCATTCAAGGAAAATCTTGATGAAAAAACACAAAAGGAAATAAACACACTAAAATATACAAACCAATTCCTTAACTTCCCTTTAGGGGAAAAAAAAAAGCACATTTATCAACAACCTACTTAGCATTATGACTAAATTTTTCCTTACGTGGATTTTTTACTTCAAGCCAACAAGGTCCTTTGATCTTTCTGTTCATCAAGAACAGTTCCAAGCTGGATGTGTTGGTTCCAAATACATGAGAAAAAGTTTCTCCTTTCAAATCCTGAGGAAGCTGTGGTACTTCTGCCTAAAAGAGGAAAAAAAATCTTTTTTGTTTAAAACTATTACTTCACATTTTCCAAGTCTATATTTGAAATAAACAAAAGCCTCTCTATGAAGCAGCAGAAGAAACCCCTTTGATACATGTGAAATGTAATTTGCTACAAATGAAATCCAAAACAATTCACAGTAGGAAACAAAAACAATTCACAATGACAAAATAATGCATCTTGATGACACCCATTAGAAGAAAATAGGCCAAGAAGCTCCCCCAAGAGAGAATTTGTGTCCAGAGCTGTACATGCCTCACTGATAAAGAATAGCCAAGTAAGTACCACTCCATTAGAAGAATGAAAGCAATAGAGTGGGACTCATTGAAAAAGCTTCCATCACCACTGCCAAAAACATTTTTTAAAAGTTTCCCTTTTCCAACATTGTGGGATCAAAACACTAGAACAAAGGTAAAAAGAGGTTAAGGTCTAGTTAATTAACACCCTACAGCAATGACCTTGCCTGTCACAGGAGCAAGAGCAAGAGCAGCACTATAATGATGCTACTGACACTCCTCTCTCACCTTTCCACTGCTTACAAGAGACACTTAACAGACTAATGATGTCCAACTCCATCATGTGGCATTCATTCCACTTGACAAACAATTGTGCTGTTTCAAGTTATTTATTTAAAGATGCATACTTGAAAGCAGAGAAAGACAGTATAACCTGTAGACTATGTACTTAAAATTAATTTTATCCATTTCAGTTATTCATTACTGTAAGTCCACCTCAATGAACTGTGGGCTTGAGGAGCTCTGTCAGTACTCCTAGTTGAAAGTTCAAAAGTAGAAAAAAATGCCATTCACCAAAACCAGGTAATTTTCTTTGTTTAACTTACCGAGTATCTAACTTCCAAGTATTGAGATTTTTCGGGAACATCAGGTATCTCAAAAGCATAATTCTTTTCCACTGTCTGGATAAGTAGATGTTTTAAAAAAATCATTAAGACAAAAACTTTTCAAAACGCAAATTAGCCAGCATTACATAAATAATACATTTTCCTATATTAAATCATCAGTAATCTAGCATCCTTATGGGACACAAGAGTAATTAAAGCCAAAAAGGTATCCTTTCACCTTTCAACTAGGACTAAGACACATAGTGACAATGTTAAAAAGACTTCTCTTAGACACTACAGAAATCAAAATATTTGCATTCAAATAGGAGCAAGAAGAGATTTTTTTTACAATGTTAATTCATTAAATCATTTGTCAAGAGACAGGTTGTGGCACATGCCTACAATCCCAGCTACTCTCAGAAGTCTGGGTAGGAGAATCGTGAGTTTAAGTCCAGAGCTATACATGCCTCACTGATAAAACATAGCAAAACATTGTCTCAAAAAATAAAAATTATTTGTCACTAATTGACATTAAGCAACTCCATCTTGCTAGAATAATCAACACTATAATCATAGTTCATATGTAGTAAGTATTGGCTATGTGTCAAGTACTATTCTAATCATTCAATATGAATCAAGAGATTTAACCCTTTTGACAATGCTTGCAATAGGGCCTCATTTGCCAAATAAAGAAACAGGCACAGGGAAGTCACTTGGCACTTGTTCACAGTCAGATACTAGTAAGCAGCAGGGCTAAGACTTAAATCACAAGCAACCTGACTCTAACATTCATATGCTTCACCATTACAACACATTGTCTCTGGAATTTTATGTTTTTAGTTTTTGTTTGCAGTGCTAGGAATAAAACCCAAGGCCTTGTGCATTATTACTTGTGGAAATTTAAAGAAGTGACTCAGCCACAATCCAAAACTTAAGTAGTTAAGAGTGTTAGCTGTATCTTTCGCAACTCAATCCTCCCTTTCTTTCCATCACTATAACTTCCCATATTTTTAGTGGGCTACAGACCCCACAATTATGGCCAAAGGCATCAATATCTCACTAAAATCAAAATATTTTTTCTTTTTTTAGGGGCATTCTCCACTGAGCTATATCCCCAGCTATTTTTATTTTTTGAGACAGGGTCTCACTAAGTTACTATGGTTGGTCTCAAACTTGTAATCCTTCTGCCTCAGCCTCCCAAGTCACTGGAATCAGAGGCATGTGCCACCAACACCAGTTTGGACAATTTGTCATACATATCACACGAATATAAGACTTTCATTCTATCAGAAATAACATCATAGTCCCTGATTTTTAAAACTAAAACTTACTTAACCTTCTAATCAAAATGCATTGGCAATAACTAATTATAAAATCAAAATGTTTTCTTTGCCATTTCAGAATAAAAACATGAAATGTAAGCATTTAAAGTAATTTGCTTTGAGTTATCTATATATTCAAATTCATGACCATTATTTTACAAGCAGTTTAAAAAGAAAGCAAAATATTTTTAAAAATCTAACACAGTTTTTATATTCATGCCTATGAGATTGCCATTCTAGGGGTTCATAACCCACTTGAATCAAAGTGTGAAATATGATATGTCAAGAACTATGTAATGTTTTGAACAACCAACAATAAAAATTTTAAAAAAAGAGATTGCCATTCTATGAGTTAGAGATATGCAGAAGGCACTTTGTATGAAGTAGATATGCAATACCTATTTACAAAATCAAGACATTAACAAACAACAAATTAAGAAAGCTGGGCAAAAATTTACAACCAAATACAAACCTTGGACTTGAACTTCATAATTTTATATTTTGCTGCTATTCTTTCATCAAATTCATCGTAAACATCCTTCATTGTAACTGGAATTTCTGTTTCCTTCCCTGTATTTAGATCAATTTTCTGTTCTCCCGTGGAAAGGAGAAAAGGGAGAAAAAGTATCTGTACATAAGATCTTCTTAACCACCAGAAACCCAAGTTTAAAACAGTTTTCATCCTCACCCATTTAAACACTTAATAGCACAGTCTCAACAATGAGTTCAAAGGCAAAAACAATCCCTAAAAAATACTAAACCCAATGGCTAATTCCTCCCAAAGCATCATAAAGCAAGGCAAAGATGATCAATGCTAAAAAACAATGGGAAAATAAGTATTATAAATCCTGACCAAGATGCTCCACAATTCAACAGAAATGGGGAGGGGCTGATACTGGGAGGGAGCTGGAGATATTAAAAGTCCTAATAAAGAAGAAGCAAATGGAACTGATCTTGTTAAATGGCCACAGGGGAAATATTACAGCTGCCTATGCAACAAGAGCAGGAAAACTGGGCCAAATGCCATGTCACGTTTTAGAGCCTAAGAGTCCCAAGCCCAATTATTATGGAAATGAGGAGTAAGGGAAATATAACATTCTGTATTAAAACTCAGACACTTTTACTCTAACAAGTTGAAAAACTGAGTTCAACTTCATTTCTCTAATTTTCCCATCCTCTATTGGAATTGCTGACAATCAGTGGTCATGAAGCAGGGAGTAAGAAAGAATTGGGGTTGTGAAGAACTGCTACCCTACTGAAGGATAGGGTTGACCTTGGAATAGAGAATGGGTACCATATATAATTACTGAAATCTCAAAGCTAATCACTAATGCTTACCATTTCACGGGGAAGGAAGTACAGTGTTCGCTCAATGTTTTTCACCATGACACAACAGCTCACGTGGGTCTTGGCTGATTCAATAAAAACTTTTCCAAACAGAAATACCACACCTGAAAGAATAAGGGAAAACTTAATTGAAATTGAAAAGAAAACATTTCAATTACACCAAATCATAGGAACAACGTAAAGGCTCACTGAACATGTCCACACATTTATACCTTTGTGATAACATTCTGACAGCAAACATATATAAAACCAGTTCTTTGTTTTTAAAATATTTATTTTTAGTTGTAGTTGTACACAATACCTTCATTTTATTTATTTACTTTTATGTGCTGAGGATCCAACCCAGGGCTGCACACGTGCAAGGCAAACACTCTACTGCTGAGACACAACTCCAGCCCCAAAACCAGTTCTTAACTCAGTACTTACGCCATAGTACACTATCACAGTGGTACAACCCCAGGAAGAAAGGGGATAGAATAATTCTCTAATTTGGTATAAACAGTTTCCCTATAACCAGTATTATCCAGATTAAGAAAAACAAAACAACTATTGTCTAACAAATCTGCTATTACAACCTCTCATGAAAACATGCAAATATGAGAATATCATTCTAAATTTATTTTTTATTTACACTTACTGATAAAAAACAATCTTCATGTATTGGGATACAAACATCAGTATTTTTCTGTATGTAAAGTTGTATTTGGGAAAAACAATTCATCTTGTATCTTATGGTTTGGAAATGAGGTACCCCTCAAAACTCCTGTTGATGCCAAAATATTCAGAAGTAAAATGATTTGATTATAAGAGCTGTAACCTTAACCTAACAGTCCATTCTAGCTTGAATGGACTAACTAAATGGTAACTATAGGGAGGTGAAGCATGGTTGGAGGAATTTGGTCACTAGGAGCCTGCCTTTGAGGTTTATATTTTGTCCCTTGCACCTCAACTCCTCTCTCTTCTTTCTGCCTACCATATGCTAAGCAGCTTTCCTCACTGTACCCTTCTGCCATGATGTTCTGCCACAACTTGGGCCCAGAGCAATAGTCAGTCAGTCGTTCATGGACTGAACCTCTGAAACCATAAGCCCCAAATGAACTTTTCCTCCTCTAAGTTTTCTTGTCAGGTATTTGATCATAGTGATAAAAAGCTGCCTAACACATCTCTTATTCTATATAAACATAAATATCTCACAACAGGGTTCTATTATAATCTATTTCACCCTTTCTATATCACAAGTTACTTAATATATCTAGCTAGGTAGTATTTATACTGTTCCTTTCTCTTCTGCTTCTATTTAACAAATGGTTTACTAATAAAATCAGTAGATATCCTTCTTTTGTGATCCCTCAGAAATATACACAACGAAGTAAAAACATGCCTTTCTAAACATCAAGTTACTGTTCTCCCATCTCTTCAACAGAAAACTAGCCATTAAGAAAGGACTGCTGGGCTGGAGTTGTGGCTCAGCAGTAGAGCACTTGCCTAGCATGTTCAAAGCCCTGGATTCAATCCTCAGCATCACATAAAAATTAATAAAATAAAGGTGTTGTGTCCAATTACAACTAAAAAAATATTTTTAAAAAGGAAGAAAGAAAGGACTCCTAAGATCTGATAGTCAACCCAAGAGATGGTCACTGTAAAAAAAAAATCCCAGGCTCCATGAACTAGACAGCAGTAATCAACATAGCCACTTATCTGAGACACTAAGAAAATTCTGATACATGCAAAGGCTACTGTTCACAAAGCCAATTACCCCAGTTTCACAAGACAGCTCATCATCAGTATTTCCTTTTGTCACTTATTCTAGTAGAAATAAGACTATCTAAGGATTTTCATTTCTGCAGATGATTAAAATTCTTACAAGTGTTGTGTGATTTTCAGCTGGGGTGGGGGAAGTGGGGAAGATAAGGGAGAGGAAAGGGCGGACCATGGGACGATTTAAAGAAAAAATTCACAGTAGCACAGAAATTTAGAAGTCATCCTCATGACAGTTAAAGATGGAAAAACAAAATTCCATGCAAAGAAAAATAAAGACCCTAATATTGGATTCAAAGATTCAAATAGCTCATTTTACAGTCAAACTAATATCACACTTCATGCAACACATTTGACACTGTTTATGCCTCGTTTGCCACAAAAAGATCATGGTAAACAAAGATTACACTCCCCCCAAAGTTACTAGCTGAAACCAGGTGCAGTCAGGATTATTCAACCTTGAAAAAGTCATAATGAAGACAGGATATCTTCCCATATGCAAAGAGTAAGATTCTTTTCATAATTATGGTGCATTCAGCAACAACTGACTGACTTAGAATCTGTAAGAAAGTGAGAAACAATAACAGGGTCTTTGGGAGTACTTCGTTTTTATTAGCAGCATTGATTTCACAAAGCTCAGTGATCATTACCTACTATCACGATGAAACTGTTCAACCCTCTGAAATTAAAGGATTTTTAAAAAAAGCTATTTTATTTAACCCATTGGCATCAAAAACAGAGAAAGATGTGCCACCTCAGAGAACACAACTTGCAAAGTACCACAGAATGGCAAAGTGGACTGACAATGAGAAGCCCCGACTTCTGCCACTGAAGAGTCAACTACTTTTTTTCCCCAGAGCCTGTTTCCTGCTAAGTGAATAACTAGACTAGATAATCTCTGAAGCCTTTTTCAGCACTTGTATGACAAAAAAATATTAACTGAGCTGGCCATCATGGCATGTGCCTGTAGCCCCAGCTACTCAGGCAGCTGAGACAGGAAAACTGCTTGAGCCCATAAGTCTGAGGCCAACAGGGGCAACATAGTGAGATCCCCCATCTCAAAAAAGATAATTGTGAAATGTTACCCTGGGCTGGAGGTACAACTCAGTGGTAGAGTACATGCCCTGGTTCAATTCTTAGCACCACCAAAAAATTTTTCCCCACTATTGATTTTAAAAGCCTATCCATGGCCGGGCGTGGTGATGCATGCCTATAATCCCAGAGGTTTGGGAGGCTAAGGCAAGAGGATCACAAGTTCAAAGCCAGCCTCAGCAAAAAAGCAGGGCGCAAGAAACTCAGTGAGACCCTGTCTCTAATAAAATATCAAACAGGGGTGGGGATGTGGCTCAGTGGTCAAGTGCCCCCCAGTTCAATCCCCAGTACAAAAAAAAAAAAAAACCTATCCATGACACTGGCCTGATATCAGAAATTAATTACTTTGAAAAAAATTTAGTTGTGCCTCCATGTTTCAATCTTAGCCTCCAATATCCCTTACTACAAACTATCACTAATTAAGAAAAATGTCTGTGATGATATATATTTGTTTGGTATCTGACCCATCCAATATAGTAGCTACTTTTCACATGTGGCCATTAAGCACTTAAAAGGTGGCTACTGGTTGAGAAACTGAATTTTAAATTTTACTTCCTTTTAAACAGTATAAATTAAAAGAACTACATATGGCCATTATATTGGACATTATGGTACCTTAGTAGATCCCTGCCCTGTGAAACAATGGTATTTACTAATAAGAGTATAAACCAAAAAACAAACGGTAAAAATAGCAAACTCTTTTTCACAAACAGTTTAGCTGTGGATGGACACAATATCTTATTTTTATGTGGTGCTGAAGATCAAACTCAGTGCCCCATAAATAATAGGCCAACACTTTTCCACTGAGCTAAAACCCCAACCCAGAACTGTTGTTTAAGGTTCTGATCCTTGGCAACCAACGCTGGTAATGATGCTTTATAGGCACTTACTTGGGAGGGGGTCACCATCCACTTTTGTTTTACTCATTCTTATTTCACACTGCTACAAGAATTTAGGAAGCAAACTAAATAATGGCAGCAAATTCAACTCTGGTGCTCTGTAACTCTCCATGTGCATCCACCAGACTGTCAATCACTGTGTAGTTTATTTCAGAGACCATTTACTGCATGCCTACTATGGACCTGGCATTGTACTGAATACTGGAAATGAAAGATTTCTAGCAGCTTAAAGGCTTTGGGATAGAGAAAAAAACTGATTCAGATCATTTCAAAATCAGATGACAAAACTACAATGAGAAAGGGTATGATGGGGTCATAGGACTCTAAGGTCCATCTAGAGGTTTAGGAAAACTTTCAGGAAATGACAACTGAGCTGAATCTTGAAGAATGTGTCAGATAAGGGCATCCCAGTCAGACAAATACTATGAGTAAAGGGACACGCAGGAGCAATTTCTAGGGCAAAAATTCATAGACAGCAGGCATCAAAAACCTTGCTAAGGAGCTTGGACTCTATGTTATAAGCAATAGCTACTGAGGATTTTTTTAAATGAGGAAATGATATAGTCAATGTTACTCTTCTGATCAATCACTCTGGCAGTAATGTGGAAGATAACAGTTTAGAGATCAATTAGGAGGCTGGTACAATGAATTCAGTAGGCAAGAAGGGTTCAGGGCACCAGTTATGAGATAGATTATCCACTTTAGAAGGAGTAAACTAACAAGTGAGGAAAAGGAGGGAATCAAGGATGGCTTCCAGGTTTCTGGTTTTGATGGAACCATTAACCAATGGGTTAATAATTAATCAAATCTATAAGGTCCCTTTTACCATGCAAGGAAACATCACAAGCTCCAAATATTACTACATGGACATCTTTAGTGAGAGGGGTCATTATGCTACCTATTACACCTCTCAGTTCCATGAAGTTGAGAAGTTCTCTCGGAGGTCTTAGAAAACAGGAAGAAGACAAAAAAAAAAAAAAAACAGGACTAAAAAAAAATCCCAGAATTAACAGGCAGCTACTCAAATTCAGAGATGAGAAACAAATGAGATATGTCAAAATTATTTTGCCTCCTATCTTTTAGGCAAAGGGTAAAGATTAAAAACAGAGAATCTCCACTATTTCTGTTTAATGAAAAAACATTCATTTGGAGGTAATTTTTAAATTTTAAAAAAAGTTATCCTGAAGAACTGAAATAATACATATTCAATTTGGTTAAAGAGAAACAGGCCCAGAAGCACCACCAGAAATATATTTGTTCAATTTGAGGAGGGTCTTTTCTAACAGTTACTGTTGTTAAAAATGGAATGAGCCTCCTCTGTCATCTTAAGGGCATTCTTGGCTCCTGTAAGATGATTTTTTTTTCCTCTACAAAGAGGGAGTTAGTAAGACCCCCCTCATCAGAAGGTCAGGCCTGTGAATTCTAAAAGAGAATAAACTTTTTGTTCCATTTGTTGTGTGGCCCTCTTCTTCAATTTATTCCCAGCATTTTGTGAATCAAGAATTCACAATACTAGCTCATTAGGATGACCTGGGAATCAGTCTTGATTTCTCCTTTCCATCAATGCTCAGATTCAATCCATCAACAAGTTTGTATCAAAATACTTGTTAAATGCCTTCATTTCTCTCCTTCCCAGCCTCCAGGGTCCAAGTAACTAGTACCTCTGCCCTGGAATGACTGATCTCCAGGGCTTCCATAATTTCCTACCACCCCACTCTAGCTCACCCTTCTACAGCTATATATACAAGCATGCACACACAGAATAACATGCCTGTTATTCTCTTCACAGACAAGAGAATTCCTGTTGAAATGCAAAGTCAATTATGGGACCATCCATCATTATGTGGCCTTTTACCTTTATCTCCAACTTCACTGCATACCAATCTTATCACTTGATAACTATGCTACTATCACACAGGCCACCTTCTTCATGTCAGTCCTTCCCACTTACTGGATTCTTAGCTGAAATGTCCTTTCCTCGACTCTGTATGTGCCTCACATCTTAGCCCAGGGATCATCTCTTAAGACAGGCCTTCACTGAGCATCCTACAACTAACTCCCTTTTACATCAGTTTCTTTTATTTATAGCCAATTTCTCCCCACCCACTCCCACCCCATTAAAATATAAGCAACATTATAGCATAGGGAATTTGTGCAGTTTGTTCACCCCCTCTCAGTGCCTTAAACACAACATGTGTCCAATTTGCTAAATAAAGAGACAAATTAATGACTGATTCCATTTGCAGTATAATCCTGCAACTTCAGATACATCGATGGCAAAGTACAAGCACATTCAAAAATCACAAATAACTGATTTTTGGAATAAGCATTTTAAGGACTATTCACACCACAGGGTGGCTCACGCACTTTACAATGAACAAGTACTGCTCTCCTATAACACACTTACATGAGGGCAGAGCCTGTGCCAATCTTCATCACTAAATATTTAAGGGAAAACTTGCTACTCCATCAAGACATATGGTTACTTTATCTTTGATTACCTGGTTGGTTGTACTGATCTTCATAAGCATCCAACCAATAAAACTGGAACACTTGTTCTTCATCTGTCCCTTTTACCAATGGGAGTTGACTGGAATCCACTTGAATTTCTTGTGCTGAGAAACTGCTATCATTTTCCTGATCAATGCCCCAACAAGAGTCATCTGGGAGAAAACTTCCCCTGCAGAAATCAAATTTTCCAAAACTTTTCAAAATCTAACAGAGTAGGGCTGGTGCTACTGCTCAGTGGCAGAGCGCTTGCCTAACGTGTGAGGCACTGGGTTCAATCCTTAACACTGCATAAAAACCTAAACAAATAAAGGCATGCTGTCCATCTACAATTATGAAAACTTTTTTTTTTTTTTAATCTTGGCTGGGACAGTAGCTCAGTGGTAGAGAACTTGCCTAGCACATGTGAGCCACTGGGTTCAATCCTCAGCACCACATAAAAATAAATAAATAAAATAAAGATATTGTGTCCATCTACAATGAAAAAAAATTTTTTTTAAAAATCTAACAGAGGGGCTGGGGATGTGGCTCAAGCGGTAGCGCGCTCGCCTGGCATGTGTGCGGCCTGGGTTCGATCCTCAGCACCACATGCAAAGATGTTGTGTCCACTGAAAACTAAAAAATAAATATTAAAAAATTTAAAAAAAAAAATCTAACAGATTAATTGGAGTGCTATCTGCCAGGGAAAAAAAATACCAGAAAATGCTCTTACAAGCAAGACGTGGTCTCTTTCCTAGGATCCGCCTTATGTTTCATCCTCTCTGCTGGCTCACTCTCTTGGTCCCAAGTCTTGGCAGCCATAGGCTTCATGTCCACCTCCTCAGCTTCCATGGGCTCATCAAAGTCACCATCTTCAAACTCCATTTCCCCTGACTCACACTCATCTTCCGGACACTCTGGCTGCACCAGCTCTCCTGTAGACATCAGCATATATTCCTGTCACATGCTAGTACCTGGAGCACAATGGTTTACCCAACACTGAAATATCAGCACATCCCTTTTCCTACACTTGTATTTCTCTTTAGTCTCCAAATTGGATGTTTTTAACTTTTAGTGCTACAAATCCAAATCTTTCACACTTAGACTTGCCATCACAATACCTCCACTTCTTCTACTGCTGTAAAAACAACTGCTCAACACCCTTGCACTTCTGCCTGACATCAGACTTACCAGCAAATTCAGTTCGTTTAAGAGGAGCAGGAGTTAATGAAAGCTCCTTCCTGGCGACAGGGGAAGCAGTTTTTCCTGAAGGAATTGCCTGTAAACATTTTTAAGTGTTTAGTCACTTAGACTTGCATACTAAAAATATGTAACTGTCCTACCCTGACCAAAGATAATGACAGTTCCCATTTATAAAAAGATTTTATGTATTATTAATGTAACAGCTTCAATTATTTTACTGTTATCTAGATTTACAGAAAAAAATACTTGTTTCCAGGAGGAAAATTATTGCATTTAGCACAGTTGTAATACCTATAATAAACACATATTAGTTACTACAAAATTTACTATGAAAAAAGCAGGCACATGCTATTTTTGAAATACACAAAACTATATATTGAATGGCAGTCCTAATTTTTAAAAAATCAAAAATAAATTCAAAGCCATTTCCTTCACATAGAAAAGCAAAAATAAATAAATTTAAAACAATATCATAAATCAAGATAGGGTATCTCTATACACTTTACCTTGGGAGTGTACACAGCAAAAGGATTCAGAGAAGCTCCAGTAGATCTTTTCTTCTTAGGTATTATTACAGGTGGAAGAGTTATTTGAGGTTTCTAAAAGGAAGGGTAAGACAGACATTCACTGCCATGCTTGGTTTACCACGTAACAGATAAAGTGCATTTCTTCGATCACTGAAACCCAATAAGCATTTTTCCTTCCCTGCCCCCCCCCCAGGATCTATGTTCATACACTGTGGTTACTATAGCAACAATACTACAGAAATCACTAGAAAACCTGAATAGATACTGAATCCACCCCTCAGCAATCCTTTTCTTTTTAAAATTTAACACAGTCTTTCACTTATCCTTCCAGAATATTACATTTAAAAACAATCAAGATACATATGACTGCACAGTGTTGATGCTAGATTATTTTGATCTATGGTCATTTAGAAAGAAATACACTTCTAAATAAACACTTAGCCTTTATGAGAAATGGCCAAATTTCAAATTCACAGTGTAGGTGAGCCTATTTGAGTTCTATCAGGAATAGGACACTAACTCTTTCTTCACTCCCACTCAGAATTAAAGACAAGGATCTTATGCCTGATTGTGTAGACTGACAGGCTTCAATCTATTTAGGGAACATATGCTATAGCAACTGAACACAAGCAATGAGCATTCACAGAACTGACTCCTGAGTGTATTCTTACTACTTCCAACATACACCCACACAGCCCCATCTACATAATCACATAGCTGTAACAGCTAGAAACTACTCACCTAAAATGGTGAGAAGAAACTAACTGGAAGATTTTATTTTTGTTTTTATTTTTGTGGGATATTTCTTTTGGTGGTACTGTCCTTGCATTTTTTAAATTCTAGCAAAAGTCTATTCCATACAACTTCTGAATTATTTCTAGAACCTATGTTCCCTGCACATTTTATAACTCCCAGAGAATCACTTACCTCAGTGTTCAGATCTTGTAGAATGTCACCTAGCAGTTCATCCTTAGACAAATCTACAGCTTTCTAGAGATTATAAAGGAAGGCAAAATGAGAAAGCCCTGCACATTAAATTTTCACCCAGACCACACACATGACTATGAAAGGAAGAACCTAACCAATCAGTCCTTACCTCTTCATTTCATTCACTCTAAGTGCTCAAATCTATTCAGATTTTAACTACCACCTGTGTATACGTAAATTCTAAATTTATAGCTCCCATCCTCTATTTTAATTCTCATTCCATGATCTTCCTGCTAGTCACTGAAATGAAACACACTTTCAATTCAGTTTTCCTGTTCAATCTTTCTTTTCTATGTCCCAAATTCTAATCATTGAGGTGCTTAAATCATTTGAAAACTAAAGTCAACTTAGGGAGTGAAGCTGGGAAAATGTTATTTAAATATGTATTAAGTTTCTAATATCTGTATAATCATATACTAAATTCATTTCACAAAGGAAAAGACAAAATATACAGAAACCATGAAACTCACATCTGTGCTTTTCTTTCCAGCACTGGCAATGAACATTGACTTGATATTGTTTGGTTTTGTCACTGCAAGTTTCTTTACATTCTTCTTGTCTCTGTTGCGTGCTTTAGCATCCTTTCCTATTGGAATATATATTATTTAGAAACACAAAAGGTCCCAGTTCAAATTGGAAAACAAAAAGCCTAGTAGTCACTTGTTCTCCATATATGGGAATTTGGGAAGAAAATATTAAGACTTCAAAATACAAATATATGAAGATTTTACACAAGGTACATAAAGAAGAAACTTTAAAATAAGCTAAATTCAAAAACTTGGGCTAAACATTATTACAAAAACTGATAAAACACAAGTTAAATATCAGGATGAGTTAAGTGTGACTATTTAATTGCTAACGTTAGTGTGACTAAAAAGCCTTTTTTTAAGTGAGACAAGAGGGCTGGGGTTGTAGCTCAGTGGTAGAGCACTTGCCTGGCACATGTGAGGCACTGGGTTCAATCCTCAGCATCACATAAAAATAAATAAAATAAAAGTATTGTGTAAAAAAAGTAATATAGGAAAAATAAAGCCAAGCTGGAATCAAGAGATTATCCTAGTAACCTTCATGAGATCATATCTTTGATTTTATATGTAATTTGACAGAACAACTTAACTGTAAAGAAATGGAATTACCAGTTATGATACTGCAGCATCCCGATTTCCATTTTTATGAGAACAGCAACTAGACACATGCAACTATGTCACATTAACACTAAACAGCACAGAGGCATTTGCTCATTAAAAGAAAACTTTTGCCATTTATTCTCTTCTGACCATGTGTAAATCAACTTTCCTAATACTGTCAATTTTAATCTCACTTTCTGATTCATCCCAAAATAGTCTCAATCTCAAAAAAACTAAATGAATAATTAAAATAGTGTGGTAGTGGCATATACATAGAGAGACCAGATGAGTAAAAAATACAATCTAGAAAAAAGATCCCATCACATATGGAAATTTAGCATATAATAAAGGTGACAACTTATATCACTTGGGGAAAAATAGATTTATAAATAAATAGTGTTGGCTAGCCATTTGTAAGATCCATATAAACACCAAAAGGAAATTTTAAAAATAAAACTGTACAAGTACTTTAGAAAAGCAAATTCCTTTGTAACCTGGGTATAGTAAAAATCTAACACTAATTCAAAATCCACTTTCAAGGAAAAAACAGATTGATAACTTCAATTACACCAGAAAAGGAATTTAAAGAAAAACCTGGAGAAAATATTTACAATATGTATCACAGATAAAGTATCCATTACCCTGACAAACATTTCCCTGATATAAAGACCTAAAACAACCAATTGAAATTCAAAAGGAATGTGAGCAATAAATACAAAGTTTTATGAGAAGATCCACAACTTTATGTATAAAAGAAATGCAAATGAACACCACACTGAGATGCCATTTCTTGCATATCAAACTGGCAAAAATTCAGCTTAACATACTATCAGCAGGGCTTTGGGGAAATACACACTCAGACACTGTTCATAGGAGGGTACAAAAGGACAACTCCTAGAAGAACTTGAGAACTTGGCAATGTCTTGTCAATGCCTAATAAAAATTTTGTGAGCATTTACTCTCTGAGCCAACAATTCCACTTCTAGGAATTTTCCAAGGAAAACATGATATGCACAAGAGTTACTGGATATGTGGCATTATTTGTAATAACAAATTATTGAAAATAAATGTCCACCCAAAATAATTATTTTAATAAACGATAGCGTATCAATATAATGGAGTACTATGCAGCCATAAAGACATAAATAAGAAAAATCTGTTAAGTACTAATATGAAGTGATTTTCAGAATATCTTAGGTGAAAAAAGCAAACTACAAAACTATCTATAGATGGTATCTTTTGTCTAAGAAAGAAAATAGAAATACGTACACACAATTCCATTCCTAGGTATATACCCAAAAGAAATGAAAACAGGTATTCAAACAAAAGCTTCAACATACATGTTCATAGCAGCATTAAAAAAGGTAGATAACTCAGTGCCCATCAACTGATGAATGGGTAAACAAAATGGGCAACACACATCCAGATAATATTATTCAGCCACAAAAAAGAATAAAGCACTAATACATGCTATAGCATGGAAGAAACTTTAAAACATTATGCTAAGTGAAAGATGCCAGACAAAAAAAGGTTACATATTGTATGATCCCAGTTATATAAAACGTCCACAACAGGCAAAACCATAGAAGCAGAAAGCAGATTAATGGTTGCCAGATGCTGAGGGAAGGAAGACTAGAGAGTGATTGCTTAATGAGTATGGGGTTTCCATCTGGGGCAATGAAAATATTCTGAAATTAGATAATGGTGATGGCTGCAAACACTGCAAATGTACTAAATGTCACTAATGGTAAATTCTGTGATATGTATTCTACCACAATAAAAAACAGGCATTTTTCACATGGCAAGGCTATGAAAAGGTTTACAGGACATTTGTAAAATATGTGAGACCAGAGAATTGCATGAAAGAACTTGTATCTTTATTGAGACCAACTGGAGCAGTTTGAAGACAGAATATACTTAATGGTTAAAATGTTTAGTATGCAAGGGGGCTGGGGTATGGGGATATAGGTCAGTTGGTAGAGTGCTTGCCTTGCATGCACAAGGCCCTGGGTTCAATCCCCAGCACCCCCCCACACACACACACACACACACAGTTTAGTATGCAGAAATCCACAATTAGTTTATTGTGCTTTTCCAGTTATTTTTCTTCATTTGGACTTGACCAATATTTTTCTCTATTTGAAAACAGCATGCCAGGGACTGGATTCACACCATAAAGAACTGACCTTATACTCAAAACTACAATTTCTTATAAGTTTTTTAAGTGGATTTCAGAATTCTGTTTGCCTTCATAATATCTTGTGACCTTACGTGGGCTCTTAGTGAGGTTCACTGAAACAATGGGGATTTGTGGGTGAATGGCAGTGGCAAAGCATAAAATAAATTTCTAAGACTAGCTGTCTTCCAGAATATCAACTCATTCTCTTTACTGATGTATTGCCAAAACAGATAACAATATGAAAAGAAACAGTGGTGGCTCATTTATTCAACAAATACTGCATACTTCTTTCATGTCTGCTGCTGTGATCAGCCCTGGAGTGAGTGGGACATGGGTCCTTTCTTTGAGAAGCTCCTTAACCAGTCCAACTTCCTAATTTGCAGCTGACCAAAACTAAAATCTACATAGGTGATTGGGACTATGTCAAGTTGATATAATTAACAATATAGCCATAACACAGGTCTCCTTGATTCTGGGACATAATACAGTAAATGGGTTCATTCTATCTTCCAGGACGCATATAAACTACAAATACACAATTTGCCACAATTCTACAAAAGGGTCCCAGTGTATAGAGTTTCTACACTACAGTTTGGCAGAAACTGGTCCATTCATACTCTAATGGATGGATGAATGAATAAATAACATCCCATGTGAGGGAAAACCAAACATATGTTTTTTTAATAACTGTGAACAAAGGAAAGATAAACCAGAAATTAATTAAAATGGTTATTTACAGAGATGGGTAGAAATAAGACAGAAGGCATAGGAATAAGAGCAAGACTTTTCTGTATTTATCTCTTGATATCATTTTGATTTTGACATTATATAGTTATTTTATAATATTGTAAAAAGTTAAAGACTTTTAAAAATTTGAATACAAAAACAAATGAACCTATAAACTCTCACAACAAATCTTTAGAGGGCTATACGCCAAGAACAAGTAAAATTGCAAAGAAATCATAAACTTTACTTAGAAAGGTTGTTAATAGAGGGCTGAGGTTTTGGCTCAGAGGTAGAGTGCTTGCCTAGCATGCATAAGGCACTGGGTTCGATCCTCAAATAAAATATATTGTGTCCACCTATAAGTAAAAAATGTACCTTAAAAGAAAACAAAAACAGAAAGGTTGTTGATTTAGTAATTCTAAAACAACTGTGTATATTTCAGAAAACAAGGATTTTCATTGAAAGTGTAAAAATATGAATTGAGAAGATGAATTCAGTAGTATTGGACTGGGATAAAATTTATCAGTATGAATTCAAAACATACATAATTTCCTAGTTCTGTTCACCAGAAGGGCCTAGAAGCTAGAAACCATCATACCCCAAGAGCAATAAACACATCGTTCTCCCAGATCTGAATAACATTCCCCATGAAAGGAACCAGATGATGGCTAGAAACAGTTGATTCCAAGTCTGGTACAGGAAGAGTACAAGGTAAACTTTGAACATCTTCTCAGCCCTGATAGCTAGGAAATGCTCAGACTGATTGGATCACATCAAAAGGATGCAGGCAACAACTAAAAGGGGTTTCACTCCTACCAGCTAAATCTGGGATAATTTGAACACTGAAAGGAGAAATGGTAGCACTAAATTATAACAGTAAATTTTCTAGAAACCCGTGAGTTTGAAGTGATAATTTTAAAAAGGAAAGAAGCTGAGTGCAGTGGCATGCACCTGTAGACCCAGCCACTAAGGAGGCTTAAGCAGGAAGATCACTTGACCCAGAAGTTCAAGGCCAGCCTGGGCAATGTAGCAAGACTCTATCTCAAAAATAATAGAATAAAATTTAAAAGGAGAGAATCATCAACAGATGCCGAATGCACTGGGTGAAAATTCATGGGAAAATGGGATATACACATGGTCTCAAATTATCACCACTTATTTGCATTAATCATAAAGGGGGAAAGGTAGCTTTAGAAGAAATCTGACATATCATCTTAACCAGGAGATCAAATTTATTATCAACACTAAGGGAATGGAATGCTCTTTACAGAGGGCATGAATTCAGGACCTTGTGTATGCAAAGCAAGTCCTGGGTCAATTTCCAATACTCGAGAAAAAAAAAAAAAAAAGCTACAAAAGACCTTACTCAGCAAACTGGACACATATTACTATAGACAATGATAAATGATAATGGTACTGTGGTTAAGCAGATGAGAGCCTTTATTCTTAGAAAGGGACTTCTGAAGTTCAAAAATTTCACCAACAATTAGTCTGTGTCAGTGGTTGGAAAGGGGAGAGGAAACAAATGTTGCAAAACATTAATGTGCAAATGAGAGTCCACTCCCTCTGTAAGAGCATGATAGCAGAGATGTAAGGCTTTGTGGCCAAATAAAATCTGTAACATGATTATATATTCTTTATATTTATCTTTTTTCAAAAAACACACTTTGGGGGCTGGGGATATAGTTCAGCTGGTAGAGTGTTTGCCTCCCATGCACAAGGCCCTGGGTTCAATCTCCAGCACCAAACACACACACACACACTTTGGAAACATAAAAACCTTTCCTTAGCTCAATGGCTGTATAAAAACAGATATGATTTGATGATTTGGGGGGCTGTTAATGGAGAATGTTCTAAAATAACCTATGGTGATAGCTGCACAATTCTGTGATGAATTTTATACTTTAAATGAGTGAATTACATAGCATCTGAGTTATATCTCAAAGAAGTGGTTTTTTTCCCCAAAAATTAAGCCATAGTTTGCTGACCCCTGATCATCTATCACTTGGTGGTAGAAGACCAATTAACAAACTAAACCCAAAAAAAAAACAAGGAGTACTTCCCATTCTCATTTTACAGAACTAAACCTGACTTGTTTACCTGAAAAAAAAAATGCCAAGATTGTACAGTTAAGAAAATTTAACACATTCATTCATATCATTTTAAATTTCAATTAAACAAAGCAAGCTGAATACACTAGTTCTAAACTTTATTATTGTACTGTACAATTATTGAAGAGCTAAAATTCTGAGTTCATCATTTCAGTAGGAATTAAAACACATCACTTACTATGGCGGTCCTCAATATCAGCAACTCTAAACTGACCATTGGACTAAAAATTTCATACTTTCTGGTACTGTTTTTGTTTCTTAAATTTAATTTTCTACACAACTGTGATTCTCTCACTGTCAGAACATATACTCTATCTAAAAATAATTGTGTAGGCTCTTCTCCCTCAAAAGGAGACTGTTTCAGAATACCAAGTCATCTTAAAAGTTTAGACAATTCTTTAAATCTCAAAATGACATTCTCTTGTAGGTACCTTTCTCACTGGTATCAAGAGCATTATCTTCAAGATCATCATCAAAAATCTCTCGGCCGTCTTCCACATAACCAATACCATCTGCAGGAACAAATTTTAATATTGGGATCAAGTTTTCACAAGTCATCAACAATATTTTAGCCATGGCAAAAAGAATACTTTTGTACCCACTCAGATGTTCTCCTAATCTGTTCCATTTATAAGTGCAGCAGAATCCTATTCAAACAGGTCTCAGACAAGGCAGGTCATCCACACAGCAGATGTGGCATCAAAACCAAATATATACTATACCTAGCTAGGTGAAACAGGGAAATGATCTGGTCCCACAGGATCAAAAACTTAGCCACAAAAGCTTGCTTCACAGGTATTTTACTCTACCAGAAGAATTTTTTAAAAGCCCAGAAAGGCACCCTAGTCTACATGGGAAAATTAGAATATAGCTGAGCTCTATTACAGAAATAGAAACATAATCACAGACACAGTCTATATCTCCTTCCTGTGGTCAGCAATCACATAAGCAGGAAGCTTTATACAAGGGACAGAAGAACAGTAGAAAAGAACCTGCTTTTACAGTACTTTCCATTGCTCATATTACCTCTCATACCTAAAACTTCATGTGCTCCTCACAGCAATCAGGGAGATAGTTTTCTTATCTCCATTTATAGAATAAAAACTTGTGGCTCAGTGGCATTAAGTAACTTGGCCACAGTCACACAGTTGCAAAGGATAAAAGAGAACCTCAACCTCTGTCGCTTAATTCAGATGCTGTGTTTTGGCCCCACAGTAGCAATTCACTCCAATTCACCCTCCTCCCAATTCACCCTTCCCCACTTTGGTGTTGGGGGTTGAATGCAAGGTCTCATGCATCTTCACAGTTCCCACAGAGTCGTTTCCTGGATGATTTTTACTATATCTTGAGGTATGTGCCTTGATTCTCCAAAATGTTGCCAAATCAACTTCTTATTGTTCTGCTTCCTCATCCTCAAATAACTAAAAATGATCCAAACCAAAGGTATGATTCTAACAATGCCTTCCCTCCACCCAGGCACAGTAGAAACTCCACATGAAAACCTACAAAAAGCAACTAACACAGTGCCTGGCAGATAATTTCCTCCTACATACCATCATCCACAATCCAGTCATCATCCTGCCGTGCCTGAACCAGCTTCGAATACTGTTCTTCATCAACTTCTTCATAAACACTTGTGAAGTCCTCGATCTGCCATTATACAAGTTTGAGAAAAAGCTTCAAATGGAGTGAAAGTGTTAAACAATTCTTATGAAAAAAAATTGTCAAATTGAAACTGGAATGGCAGCCTGACGGAGAAGCTGCAACCAAATCATGAGTTCTGACATTCAACACCACTACAGGGTTTTCCTTAAATAGACATCAATTAACTTAGTATTCCTTTTAGGTGGGTGTTAACATAAGATATTAAATGATTCCATTAGCATAATATACTTGTCACACCATCAATTACTCATCTACTTCATAAAAAACAAACTGAATTATAGCCAATTCTTCATTAGCTGCTTTGGGGATTATTCACTTGTAATTTCTAGACTGGTTGCTCCTATACTTAGCAAACCTGTAAGGCATACCACCTCTTTCTCCACTAGCTGATGGATGTTCTACAAATAGACAACAATTTTAATGCCTGTTTGACTAAATAAAATGCAAAAGGAAAATCTCCCTCATCCATCCCCCTACAAAAATTTGGCAAAACAAGCATATTCTTCTATAAGCAAACAAGAAAAGGCTTTTGAGTGTTCACTCTTTGCTTCACCACTGATCCTCCACCACTCTCAGGTTTTGAAACTGCACAAGGACTTATATGCTGAACTGTTTGAAAGGCAAGTCCAGAGAAAGTAGCCACACTAGCTGCCTGACTGTCAAAGGGTCATAGTACCATGAGCTACTGGTACAACTAAAGCAGAATACCTCTGCACAAAATAACAGATGTACACCACTGTTGCCACTGCCCATGGTAATGGGCCACATACACCCCAAATGAGAATCTGGTGAGCTGGTTAGGAAGATTTCATAGATATCTCATGAAAAATATCCGCCTTCTCTCAAGAGTTCTGCATTTTTCAAATAGGATATCAGGGGAGACGACTAACTCTACCTGAAGAGCTAAGACTCTAGGAAAAACCTGGGACACAGAGATTTGAGAGCTTGATGAACAGAGCTGACTGATTTCTGCCACACCTATAAAGCATATAATGATTACAGGACTAGGCTTCGTTTCACCTCTTTTTTAACTTACTCTGTAGGGATCACTGGCAGGTACTGATTTGGCCTTTTACCATCTGATAAAAAACGACCTACTCTACCAAACTTATTAACAAGCCAAATGTAAACTAGTCAAATTAACATTATCATATTAACCATTTTCTTTTGCGGGAGGGGGGGCTGGCATAATTATTATTGTTGGTTGAAGGCATACTGTTGTTTTTTATTTAAGTAATTGATTTATATACTATTTTGAGGGGGGGGGGGTTACCGGAGATTGAACTCAGGAGCACTTGACCACTGAGTCATATCCCCAACCCTTTTTTATATTTTATTTAGAGACAGGGTCTCACTGGATTGATTTGCACCTTGCCATTATTGAGGCTGGCTTTGAACCCGTGATCCTACTGCCTCAGCCTCCCAAGCCACTGGGATTATAGGCATGTGCCATCACGTCCAACTGATTTATATACTATTTTTGAGGGGATGGTACTGGGGATTAAACCCAGGGGCACTTTACCACTGAGCTACATCCCCAAACCCTTTTACTTTTTATATTGAGATAGAGTCTTGCTAAGTTTCTGAGGTTGGCCTTGAATTTGTAATCCTCCTGCCTCAGCCTCCTGAGTCATTGAGACCATAGGCAGGTGCCACTGTGCCCAGCTGATTTATATAATATTAAGAAGATCCTAGAAAACTTTCTCTTTTTGATACTGAGGATTGAATTCAGGGGTGCTTTACCATTGAGCTAAATCCCCAGTCCTTTTTGTTTTTCTTTGTAGTTGTAGATGGACAGCATGACTTTATTTTATTTTTGTATGCAGTGCTAAGGATCAAATCTAGTGCCTCACACATGCTAGGCAATGCTCTGCCACTGAGCCCCAGCCCCAGCCTCCTTTTTTATTTTTTGACATAGTGTCTCACTAAGTTGCTTATGCTGGCCTCAACCTTGTGATCCTCCTGCCTCAACCTCCCAAGTTGCTGGGATTATAGGCATGCACCACTGCACCTGGCTAAGAAAACTATTTTTAAAAATCATTTTGGGGGCTGGGGTTATGGCTCAGAGGTAGAGCACTCACCTGGCATGCGTGGGGCACTGAGTTTGATCCTCAGCACCACATAAAAATAAAATAAAGATATTGTGTCCACCTACAACTAAAAAATAAATATTTAAAAAAATCATTTTGAATAAAAAGTTCTTTTAACTCTTTATTTTTTCAATATTTTTTAGTCGTAGTGGACACAATACCTTTGTTTTATTTATTATTTATTTATTTATATGTGGTGCTGAGGGTCAAACCCAGGGCCCCACACGCACTAAGCAAGCGCTCTACCACTGAGCCACAACCCCAAGCCCTGACTCTCTATTTATTAGTGCTAGGGAATAAATCCAGGGCCTTGTGCATATATACAAGCACTCTACCACTGAGCAACATTCCAAGCCCAGCAGACTCTATCTTTAAAAACAGTATTGCTACTGCTCAGCATGAATTCTTAGAGCCATACAATTAATATCACAATGTTTAAAGAGAAATCAGCCAAATTGTGCCAACATCAGAAATGCCCCACAAAACCTACATTAAAAATGCTTTACTTTTGCTTCACTCTAATTCTTTTAGCAACGTTTTATTATCTGGTTGCCTCCCTTAATTTGAACAAATGGTGCCAGCCACATGGCAAAAATCCTCTTCTATTTGCTTAATTGCCCAGTACAGTAAAGGCCATAGTGAAATGTGCATATTCCAAAACCAGATTGCCTGGGTCTAAATAAAGGATCTGCCATGTGATCTCACTGAATTTCTGTGCCCTCACCTCAAACTGTTGTTAGTCATAGTATCTAATTTATATATGGTTACTAGATGGATTAAATGAATAAACATATCAGTAAAATCACTTATAATAGTGTTAGCTGAAAAAATAAAGTTAGTTATTATTATTTTCTAGCATTAATCACTTTCTAGCCTTGGCAGTTAAGATACTCAGAAAGAGTGCTGAAGGTAAAGCTAAACAATGATATATAGATGATAATCACTTTACTTTTTGCCTACAGGCAAAAACAATGAGCAGAGGAAAATGGCCAAAAGTGTATTACATTCAATCTTACAAGCAGGACATTGCAGAAGTAAGGTCCAAGTCTCCATTCCTTTGCAAATTAAAACAATACTGTCCAAGGAGAAGGTACTTAACTAGGCTGCTGAAGACTTTAAAGTTAAAGCACCGCTCAGTTCCCCCAGCGAAGCCAAGGGACCTAGCAGAGACACAGCACACCAAATAAGGAAAGTATAGATATAGCTACTTTAATTTTGGAATTTTAAACTCATCTGTAAAGTGCCTTACAGGAACTTTGAAGGAATGAGTACTCTCCATAATCTATAAATCTACCTCATAATTACTATTAAATTAAATTACTATTTAGAAATACACAAATATTTCTAAATCCATGTGATTTCTTCTTTGGTGGCTCAAATATGTGTGAAATCACTTTGTAAACCCTAAAACAACTTTATAAAAGTCAAAGGGTGTTTTGTAGTTTTACTTTGTTACTAATGACTTGTATTCAGTCCTCAACTGAAGCTATTCTGGGAAAGTATTATTTCAAGCAGGTTACAGTTTAGGTATAAGGTATGCCCCAAAAGCTCATGTGTGAGACAGTGCAAGAATGTTCAGAGGTGAAATGATTAGGTTATAAAGGCCTTAACCTGATCAGTAGATCGATTAACTGGGCATTAACTATAGGCAGGCAAGGTGTGGCTATAGGAGGTAGGTCACTGGGGTGTGCCTTTGGGGTTTATATTTTGTCCTTGGTGAGCAGAAATCAATCAATCAATATCTCTCTCTCTCTCTCTCTCTCTCTCTCTCTCTCTCTCTCTCTCTCTCTCTCCCCCTCCTCCCCCCCATTGCCATATTCTGAGCTGCTTTTTCTCTGCCATGCCTTTATGCCACAATGTTCTGCCTCTCTCCATAGCCCCAGAGCTATGGAGTTGGCCAACTATGAATTCAATCTCTGAAACAGTGAGCCAAAATAAACTTTTCCTCCTCTATGTTGTTCCTGTCAGGTCTTTTGGTCACTGGGACAAAAAGCTGACTAATACAGTGACAGAGGTGACACACACTACCAGCAGGCTATAAATTAGATAAAGTACAGGAAGAAAAATGGTTACTTACTTCATATTTATACTTCTCACCGGCTTTAGCCTTTTTCAGTCTTTCTAGAGCTTCTTGGCGACCTTTCTTTGACTTTTTTTCTCGCCGAGCCCGAGAAGTTACAAAACTTCCTGAATCTGACACAGGTGATAAAAACACAAAGGTATAGGAGATGTTACAAAATCACAGCCAGGCGTGGTGGTGCATGCCTGTAATCCCAGTGACTAGAGAGGCCGAGACAGAAGAATTGCAAGCTCAAGGCCAGCCTCAGCAACTTAGTAAGGCTCTAAGCAACTTCATGAGACTCTGTCTCAAAATAAAAAGGGCTGGGGGATGTAGCTCAGTGGTAAAGTGCCCCTGAGTTCAATCCCCAGTACCCCCCCCAAATGAAGAACACTTCTAGTCAACAATAATATGCAATTTTATTATATGTAATATTAAATTAAATATTATAATGTAAAATAATTCACAAAGCTCATGGCCAAATATGCAGATCCTGTAGCTCTTCAAAAATCTTCTCTAAGATCCTGTTACAACTGAAGCCAATGTTAATTTTTTCCACACACAAAAAAAGGAAAATCTCAAAGCCAACTGATACCCTACAGAAATATTAGGTGATTAGCTGTTAGCTAGTCCATAGCCTTTCCATTGGAAATGACAGGCCACAAATAATCCAATAGGTCATAAAAGAACAATTCATTTTGCTTCCTATTAATCAACATTTGAAAGTCTTTAAGAAGGATCTGTTCTTTGCAAAATACTAGGTGCTATGAGGGACTAAAAGATCAAAAAATATGGTCTTTGTGTTTACCCTACCTACAATCTAATGTAGGAGATAAGTAGCAATTGGATCTTAAAGAATATGTAGAATACATGCCCTAATAGAAGTTCAGATAAAGTACCTGGAATTTCAAAGAGAAATACATTGGAGACTGGGGGTATTTAACAAAGACGGTACCATAATTCTAATACAAGATGGTACTATATAAAGATGCAAAAGTAAAAACATTAAAAGTGGAATTATTCTTGGGATGGGGCTGTAGCTCAGTGGTAGAGCACTTTCCTAGCACGTGTGAAGCACTGGGTTTGATCCTCAGCACCACATAAAAAAATAAAGTGTTCATCTAAAACTTAAAAAAAAAAATGTTTAAAAAAAGTGGAATTATTTTTTTTTTTTAAAGTTCATAGTGGTGAGCTGAGGTCATGGCTCAGTGGTAAAGCACTTGCCTAGCATGTGAGAGGTACAGGGTTGATTCTCAGCTCCACATATAAATAAAGAGCCATTGACAACTAAAAATTTTTTTTTTTTTAAAAAGTTCATAGTGGTATTGAAAGATCATGACAGGATTAGAGGACAACAAAAACAAAGATGGTTCTAAGGAACCATCTTATTAATTCTATCACTGACTTCAAGACCTCAGTGGATCATGATATTATAGGATAATAATAACACATTACCAAGGTTAAAATATATTTTGTCAAAACTGATTGAAATACCAGAGGGCCTCAGCATTCACTCATTCAACTTTTTAACTCTTTATGCTTTTGGTCATTACAAACTGACCACCCCACACACGTACTGAAATGAATTCATCCACAGACTTAAGACTTTCACATACCAGCTGATGAATAATCAAATCAAGATGACAGTGCTGCCTGCCAGCCATAAGTTTAGGCTCAGCAGCCATCTATTATATTTCGTGCTAATTTATTAAAATGAGTAGGCACAAAAAGGGAGATGTATTGATAAAGAGGCATCTTAAAAGCTCCAACCCCAATGGCATATTCATAACAACACTAAGTTGTTTGACTGTTTGACTGAAGTATAAGAAACAATCTAAAGAACATGTACCAAATACTGGCAATAAACTGTTGAAAATTATATCTTAAAGGTCAAGTATAATTAGAGAATCTTATTTTTTTAGCTTCCTGTAAATGGAATCTCTATAACATCTTAGCCTATTGTTTGACTTTCACATTTGACTTTTAAATCCATTTTTGGAAAGGCATTAAGTAAAAATTAAGTAATGTGGGTACTTAATGATGACAGTCACAAAATCTTGGGTATAATTCAAATGATTTAAAATTTTGAGTAGGCTTACATGAAAAGGTTTCAGAGATTATTAAACACAATCAATAAGAGTGAAAAGCTAGCCGCAGTATATTCCCTTTAAGACTCCCTTGACATCTGACAAAATCTAAAGGTCTTCAAATGGACTTACTCCACAGGAAACACTGCTCCACTACACAGGGTTTGTGGTACAATTACAAATAAGACAGAGCTGCCTGTAGCCTCAAGAGGTTCACAGTCAAGTAAAGCAAAAGACCCTGAGACTACCATCATAATATAAATATAGTGCCATAGAAGAGGTAAGAACAGCAGACAAGGAAATGTAGAGAAGAGAACCATTAATTTTGCATGAGAAATCAGGTCAGTTTTCATAGGGGAGGTCTCCAATACAAGCCTAGAAAGAATTTCACCAGCACAGAACAGGGTAAAAAGTGGAACAAGCAGAGGAAGAGGTGTGAGACAAACTACAAAGGTATTCAAATCCAAGGTGTACTCAGGAATCAAGAGAAAATCAGTGCAGAAGGTAAGTTTGACATGAGTGTAAAGTGAGCAGTACAACTGAGAAATTAAGATGTAGCACATCCCAGCTCTGCCATTTAGTAGGTAATATGAGACTACAAGTTAACCAGTTCAGCAGTGGACAGCTGTTTTATTTGAAGCTGTCCAGCATCTGAAACAATCTGTGGAACACCCCCCACACACACGCACACACACACACTTTAAGTCCCATGGGTTCACAGAGCCTATGTGTCACACACACACACACTTTAAGTCCCATGGGTTCACAGAGCCTATGCCTATACAAGCTGAAAGTTCCCTTTCCCAAACACTCTTGCAGCTGGGGCAAGGGCATTAAAATAGGCTCTAATGATTAGAAAAACCTGCCCAGTGGCTAATGTCCCAATAAGAGATATATGGACTTAAGGAAGATTCTAGAAGTAGCAAGAGCTGCAGGAAGATTGAGAATGTGAAGCAACAGTGCCAGCAATGTCCCAAGGTACAAGATCTAGCATCAAGTATTTAGTCATGGTTGGCAATGACCTCCTCAGTGGCCCAGTTTTGTGGCACAATTTTAATCACTCTTTCTGGCTAAGCAACCTGCAGACCAGATTTCCAGTCCTTCAGGATTTGTGCAAATGCTATGGAATTCTAATAAATTCCTTTTCAGTTTAAATTAGCTAGAGTTGGTTCCTTCAGCTTACACCAAAGCACTCTAATGCAGAACCTGAGGGTCCAGTGAAATGGAAATAAACCACATTTGTCTACTTCATAAAGCTGCAAGGATTACATGAGGATGGCTATCTTCATTGTACTTAGCAACATAAACTAATTTAATGTTTATATTTGTGTGTGTTTCTCTTTGTGTAGATGCAGAGCAGTCAAATACACATACATATACTCCCACATACACAGTCTAGTTTCAGAGAGCAAAAATAAAGCAAAGCAGTTTCCTCAGGGAAGATTCAACACAGCACTGCATATAACTGGACATTCATCTCAACTCCATGAGGACAGAAACCATGCCTAGTCTACCCATCATCAGAGCCTGGCAGAATACCTATGCCTAGTATGTACATAATAAATATTTACAAATGAACCATTATACCCACTTTTTTGATCACTAAACTCCCCTTGATCTCTTTTCATCCATAAAAATAGTTATAGATATTTCAACTTTTCACTGCTATTGTCAAGGTGCTCCACCTGCTAACATTTAAGAGAAACAAAATCCAGATTTCCCTTTTTGGAACATGTCTCTAATGCTTCATGTAAGTAACATTTACAAGGACTTAAATATTTGTTTTAAAATTACTATCTGGAGTACCTCCATCCTCCCCAAAAGCAGGCCAAGACACTAGCTTGCAAAAGAAGTCTTTCAGGTAACAATCTTTCAGTCTGCTCTAAAGGAAAAATTCCAGTCACAAGTTCTCAGCAAGTACTTAATCAACATCATGACTTAAGAGGGGTCTCAAGATTGCACAGTATCCTCCAGAGAGTGATTTCTTGATGTTCAGGGATGGCGTACAGTTTTTAGGGTGAAGAAAGGGCTTAGTGGCAAATCACTGATAGAAGGCTGAAAAGACTGTTCAGATACTCACATCCCATATCCCATTTGTAATCCAGGCTAGTCGACTCTCCAAAATAAATTGTCTTAAAAAAACGAAAGACGAAAGAACAAATTGAAATCTGTGATTTACAACTAGCTGAATGCAAAGGAAGCTGATTAGGAAGCAAGTTCTCATTAATGGTGATGTATTTGAGTGACAGGAGATGTGATGCTTGGGCTAAAAAACTGAAGCATCTGATTTTAAGTTAGAAGTTCACGGAAGTTAAGTCACATTTTAGTTGAACACTGTTCAAAAATCAGAAATCAGACAAAGCCATTTGCATTTTTGTATTCTATTTTTGGAAATAAAAGATTACCACTGACAAACTGAGTGATATACAATGTACCCGAAATGCTGAATTGATGTATTTTTTAGGAACTTCGCCAAAATGATTAGATTTGAACGCTAAAAAATAGCAGCACTAGAAGAACTTTCCATAGAATAATTTGAAAGAAAAGGTGTTAATGCATAAAATAGAAATCCATTACTAAAAAGACAAAACGCATTTGTATATGGTGTCAGCACTTGCAGCTTTCTCTCCTGCCTAGTTACAAAGTGTAACAATTTTCCTGGAGTTTCTAGCAAGGGAGGGGCAAATATCTTCTGTCGTAGTCCTCAAGCGGGTGGGAGAAGTGAAATACCCTCGATCAGGCCAGTGCCCCACCGACCCCAGTCTCGCTGAAGTTGTTCCCACACGTGGGTATGACTTACCAAAGGAATTTTTAAAAGGGGTCACTTGCTGACAGAGATGTGACAGCCTCCCAAACAGAAAACCCTGCAACGGGTGGCTCGGATTTGCAAGCCGCCCTACTTCAATGCTGGTTCTGACACCCGAAAGGCCCCCGCCCTGAACCACAAGGTCTGAGCCCGAGCAGACCCGCATAGCGAACCGGGCGCACGCCTCCTTCGGAAGAAATAAACAGAGACCCCCACCACCACCATACGCAATCATGCTGCTGTCCCCACACTCCCAACCAGTGCTCTGAGTGCGGAGTCGTCCCTCACCGCTTGCCCCCAGTTCGCAGTCGTTGCCGTGCACAGGCGCCATAGTCCCGCAGTCTCCCGATTCCGCGCCAACCAGCCCGAAACTGGCGCGGGGGCCGAGATAGGCGCCAGCCTGAAAGCCAATCAGAGGCTTGGGAGGCTGCGGACTTCCGCCCGGAAGGCCACTGACGTGCCGCGCCGCGCCGCGCCCCGCCCCGGGCCTTCCCGCGGGCGCGCATTTGGCGCCCTGTGATGACCCCTTAGGGAAAAACTGGAGCTGAGAAGAGACCGGAAGAGAGCTGGAGAAAGAAGCGGTCGGGCTCTGTAAAGGAGCTTGGCGGAGAATCTGCGCAGGCGCACGCAAGCTACTGGGAAAAGATTTGGGCGCGTGGGAGTAGGGGCTCTCTGGTTCTGAGAAATGATTTTCTAAGCAGAGGCGTGGGCGGGCAGGAAGGTGGCGTGGCAGGGCTGGCCCCCTTGTCCCCCTCCCCAAAACCCGGAAAACGACTGCCTCCTGGTGCGCACTCTGAGTTTTGTCTGATCCTTTGCCTCAAGGAATGTGAACACTGTGTGTGTGTGTGTGTGTGTGTGTCCTAACTTAAAGGTATATGCACCGCTCAGCGCGGTGGCTCAGCCTGTAATCCCAGCAACTTGGGAAACTGAGGCTGGAGAATCATGAGTTCAAAGCGAGCCTCAGCAACTTAGCAAGGCCCCGAACAACTTAACGAGACTCTATCTCAAAATTAATAATAAATTAAAAAAAAAATGGAAAGGGCTGGGGATGTGGCTCTGTGGTTAAGCACCCTTGGGTTCAATCCCTGGTACAAAAAAAAAAAAAAAAAGTATATGCATCATCTTAACCAAATGACCAAAAAAAGCATCACTAATAAGTGGCAGTCTGACCTCATCACATTTGACCTGATGTGATGCACTTGAGAAAAGAACAACATCGCCTACATGCTCTTCTTGCAAAAACAACTGAATCTAAACATGAAGAAACAATCAGACTTTTTCAAAGTATAGGACCACTTATAGATGCACAGTGCAGGACGACTTACAAAGCATCTTGCCTGGACTCCTCCAAAATGTTAATGTTTTGAAAGACAAAAAGGGCATTAGATTCTTGTACAATGCATGCAATGTATGCATCTCATTTTTTTTCCAAATAGGTATATTTTATTGAATAATGCTTACTGTACATTAGTAATATTTTCTCTACCCTTTTGCCCACATGCTTGTCGATCCCTTCTTCGTGTGATGACCATTTTGTTTAAATAATGATTAGTAACATTACTTAATACCCAATAAACCTATGTTTACTCCCTGTTTCTCCTTCTGACACATATTCAGTCCATAACATAACCTACAAAATATTTTTGAACCCCATTCAAAATTCTGATGTGCCTGGTCTTGATATTTTTCTACTTTTTTTTATTGTGCATTAGAGTTGTACATAGGGATGGGATTTTTTTGTTACATATTCATACGTGCATAACAATATAATTTTGCCTTTTTAACTATCTATAGCTCTTTATATAAACACTATCCACTGCTGGTAACATGAAGTGTGCACTGCTCCTGTGTTACAGGTGGCAGTGTAAATTGGTACAATCTTTTGGAACATAACATTGCAATGTGAGTACAATAAGCATGGTTATATATTTTAAGCCATTATTTCCATATGTAAATTTTTTTCAGTAATGAGGGTTGAATCCAAGTCTTATGCATGCTAGGCAAGCACCCTACCACTGAGCAACATTCCCAGCCCTTTTTATTTTATTTTGAAACCAGGACTTTCTAAATTGCCCAGGCTGGCCTCCAATTTGCAATCCTCCTGTCTCAGCTTTCTGCATAGCTGGGATTATAGGCATGTACCACCATGCCCAACTCACATATAAAAGTTTCGTAAGAAATAATAAAGATGAAAAGAAATGCAAAGATGTTAATGCGTGCCATTTCTGTTAGCAAAAATTTGAGATCTAAATGTCCACTCCAGAGCAGCAGATTAATGATGTGATATCAAAAGGAAAGTAATTAGGAAAATGCAAAACCTGAAAAGTGTTTATGATATTTCATAAAGTGAAAACAGCAGAGGGCAAAATGATGTATGCTCATTTAATTGCAACAATATATTGAATAGTTATGTGAATGCAATATGCAAAATGGACTGTATCTTCTGAGATGGTAGAATTATTGTTTAAAATATTGTTTATAATTTGTTCTCTTTAATATTATATTGGAAGGATTAAAGCTCATGTAGAGTCAGATTTGGGAGTTGACTCTTAGAATTCTACTTCTGTTTAAACTTGTGCTGATTATTGAGATCTCAGGCTCTTCTTTTATAAAATGTTTATACTTACCTAAGGAGCTATTGTGAAATTTAATTGAAATAGTACATGTATAGTGCCATTATGAAGTCCACACCTAAAAAGCATTTAATAAACAGCTATTCTTATCACTTTGTGAGTGTGTTGGTGTCAACATAATCAAAGGGATATGATAGTTAAACTAATCAAGTGTATCAACTGGCAGAAATTTCTTTCAGTCAACATATTTGGTTATGATCATTTTTTGGAGCATGTTGGTGCTTTACCTATTATATTGAATCTCTATTCAAGAAATTTTAAGTTATTTATCCACACAGCCATTTCTCCCCATTTTTTCTAGTAATAGAATATGGATTTTCAACTGGGCACATTGGCAGAAGGATGAAAAGACCACATTTCCCAGCCTTCTTTGCAACAAGGTTTAGCTATATGACAGATTTCTGGCCCACAAAATATAAGTGGTAGTGTTGTGAGGGGATTTGAGGGAAGGCTATTTAAAGAAATCTAGCACGTCTGAAAGGGGATTCTGTTTTGCCATTTTGCCTTTTCCATGTATTTCTTCTTGCAACGCAGATGTGATGGCTGAAGCTCAGAAGCCATCTTGGGTCATGATATAACTGTAAAAATGAAAGTCACACACTGAGATGGTGGAATAGAATGGTAACAATGTGGGTCCATAAACATTGTGAAGCCGTTACACCATCCCTGGGCTGCCTTCCTCCAGTCTTTTCCATGATGGAGAACTAAACATTGAACATATTCAAAGAAGCTGTTTGGGGGTTTTATATGTAATCAAACCTAATTATATAAATTATACTTATTTTACTTTCACTTTACTTGCTTTACTAATTGAAACAGTAAAGTAAGTTTCAGATGGGGAATCTAGCCTCTTATTTGTCTAACACCAAAACTGACCCATTTTTTACATTGTGTAACTTCTATGTTTCTGGTGAACGGGTGTCTATCTCATCTCAATGGCAGTAGCAGTTAAGACCCTATGAACAACTTTCATAGCACTCATTCATTCATCAAATGTTTATTGGGTGCCTGTTCTCTTTCTGGCACTACTCAAGACCCTAGGGATAAGATGGTAAGCAAAATCAAATATTTTCTTTCTTTTTAAAAAATATTTATTTTTTAGTTGTAGTTGGACACAATACCTTTATTTAATTTATTTTTATGTGGTACTGAGGATCGAACCCAGGGCCTCGCACATGCTAGATGAGTGCTGTACTGCTGAACCACAACCCCAGCCCCAAAATCAAATATTTTCTACACCTCAAGCAATCTTTCTTTTGTAAACTAGATTTTTTTTTCCAGAGGGAAACAAAAAGCCAGGCATGGTGGCACATATCTGTAATCCAAGAGGCTTGGGAGGCTGAGGCAGGAGGATGGCAAGCTCAAAGCCAGCCTCAGCAACTTAGCAAGACCCAGTCTCAAAATAAAAAACAGAAAGGACTGGGGATGTGGCTCAGTGGTTAAGCACTCTGAGTTCAATCCCTACTACCAAAAAAAAAAAAGGCAGCAAAAGAAACAGTCAACCAGATTATACTCTGTCAGGTTTATTTCTCATTGTAAATTAATAAATTAGCACTCTGGTGTCAATCAATATCTGTGTGAGTTTGTTAGTATGAGTCTGGGCCCCGAGTCTGATTTTCTTTGTATTGTCAAAACCAGCTTTGTGGCTATACAAAGATTCTTAGTTCAACTAGGATGTTCTTTTTTTTAAATTTTTTTTATTAGTTGTTCAAGACAATACAATGATATTGACATATCATACATTTGATTCAAATAGGGTATGAATTGTCATTTTTCCACCTGTACAGATTGCAGGATCACATTGGTTATACATCCATGTGTATACATACAGCAATCCTAGTGTCAGTTGTATTCTGCTGCCCTCCCTATCCCCCCTCCCGCCCCTCCCCTCCCATCCCTATTGTCTACCCATACTACTGTGACACTTATCTCTCTCTTTTATTTCCCTTCCCTTCCCCCTCACACCATCGTATATGTATTTTGTGAACCCATGAGGGTCTCCTTCCATCTTCCATGCATTTTCCCTTCTCCCTCCCTTTCCCTCCCTCCTTTTTTCCTTATTTCGTGGTAATCTTCTTCTCATGCTCTTCCCTCCTACTCTGTTTTGAGTCACCTCCCTTGTATCAGAGAAGACATTCGGCATTTGTTTTTTAGGGATTGGCTAATTTCGCTTAGCATGATTTGCTCTAGTGCCATCCATTTCCCTGCAAATGCCATGATTTTGTTATCTTTTACTGGTGAGTAATATTCCATTGTGTATAAATGCCACATTTTTTTTAATCCATTCATCTGTTGAAGGGCATCTGGGTTGGTTCCAGTCTAGCTATAGTGAATTGTGCTGCTATGAACATTGATGTAGCTGTGTCCCTGTAGTATGCTCTTTTTAGGTCTTTTGGGTATAGTCCGAGAAGGGCAATAGCTGGGTCAAATGGTGTTTCCATTCCTAGCTTTCCAAGGAATCTCCATTCTGTTCTCCAAATTGGCTGCACCAGTTTGCAGTCCCACCAGAAATGTACAAGTGTACCTTTTTCTCCACATCCTCGCCAGCACTTGTTATTGTTTGACTTCATAATGGCTGCCATTCTTACTGGAGTGAGATGGTATCTTAGAGTGGTTTTAATTTGCATTTCTCTGATAGCTAGAGATGGTGAGCATTTTTTTGTGTACTTGTTGATTGCTTGTATATCTTCCTCTGTGAAGTGTCTGTTTAGATCTTTGGCCCATTTGTTGATTGGGTTATTTGTTTTTTGTTGTTGTTGTTGTTGTTGAACTTTTTGAGTTCTTTGTATACTCTGGAGATTAGTGCT